GGGAATACCAGCTTGGTGCATGCGAGTCAGGTTACGCATTTCTTTCTCGGCCCAAGTCTTCACCATCTTACGGGGGTTGTGTTTACAGTAACCATGGCGAAACCTGAACTCGCCAGTGACATATCTATCCCTGTCCTTAAATATTAGGATAGAAGTTTTATACACCTTAACTGCTCTTTCATATCCATCAGCATTAGTAGCATGATACACATTAGCCTCTTTGCCAGTGCTGATACACCCATTTATCTCACAGATCACTCCTTTGTTGAGAATTTTGAACAGAATCATTCTTGTTCGAGGATCGAGGACTTGCTCGACAGTCGCTCTGTCTGCCTTATCTTTAGCGCGCATCCTTTCATTTTCAAGCTTTTTATTTGCTTGGATCAAAACGTTAGCAGCTTTATTGGACAACTTAGGTCCTTCATACCGTTCAACTTTGATTCGGTTACCAAACTTTTCGAAAGATTTCTCGTTCGGTTGCAGCGTTGACTGCCGTTTGCCAGAGGTGTTACTAACGTTAACTTCGGATTTTGAAGCATTATAGCGTTTAGTGAAATCCCCAGTCTCGTCTTCCCAATCCCATTCTCCAAAATCCTCGTCACTACAAGAGTCATCTGATGAAGATTTCACGTGGTCACTGGATCCGCCATTTTGACGATCTTCGTTTGAGTTTTTCGCGGTCGTTTCCTGCGCTTCACTTGCCAAATACTTACTTAGCGACTTAGGTACTTCACTGGTGTCTTCTTCGGCGTCCTCAAACTGCCCATCGAGGACAGGAACTCCAAAATAAACGTTTTCTCCCGTAAAATCCATACAACTCAAAACACGTACACGAGGATTGCAACACTACAATCTGAGTGCGCAATTCGAGTGATCAGTGGATAACAAGTAGGTGCGCATGAGCACAATTGAGCGCTGCGTGACGTTTTGTTTGATTTTTGCGAGAAAATTTCCTTCTCTGTGACAAGAAGCTGATTGTTTTGTTTACCTTACGATTGGACCAGTTCCTACAAAGTTACTCACAACTTCCTGCATCAAATAATTCTTCCCGGGAAGCTGAGTTTTCTCTTGTTCGAAGGAATTCTCCTTGAGGGTTAAATTTTGGCTGGTCATGCGCTTCAAGATTTCCTAAATCTAGAACGTGACACTCGGCGTTCCGGTGTTCTCGCGCATTTTCCATATCAACTCATTTTTAGAAGCCTACGTTTTCGATTTTCACTTTAATTTCAGCGAAATTCGAAGGGTAAATTCCGTATATTAAGAACATCCGTGTAAGAACTAGATGGAAGCTAAAACGCCGCTGGAAGTTTTCAACCATTGTGGCAAATCGATCTTCCGGCGGTAAGAGCGTTTTGCTTCGCAAAAAGACTAAAACGCTGGAACTCTAGGAATAACTTTACTTTACACATTACGTCAGAAACGTTTTCTTGGCTTGAAGAGTGGATTTGAAAACTTGCTGGGGACTTTTGAGGCTAATCACGAGACATGGTTTTCTCGTGATGAAATAACAGAGCTGACAGACCTTTGGACAATGGAACAACGATGACATGACAGTTCACTGAGTAGAGATGGAAATTGACGGAAGAAATTTGTCTTGTAAACGACAGAGGTCAGTTAATTATTTTCTGTAAAAGGAAAAACTCTCTTCTGACGATTCTTTCTTTCTTAAAGGATATTTATTTTTAATGTAGCAAATAATTGGCCGATGGTTTATACTGTATAATTTTAATTTTAGCTATTGTGCATTCTTAGCATACATCCGCAGTAACCACAGTAATGAATCCTAGAGTTATTTTACTTAACCTGTAAAATAAGTATAAGAATACTACACAATATTATGCACTAATTCCATTGACCCCCTTTGTTTTCTTGTGGCTATTTTTCACTAGTTGTTAGTATCTGTTTCACGGGATAAGTAAATCACTCTAGAGCAACGATAGTTTACTTCTGATATAGAAGTGATACTCCTTTTTTTCTCAAACGAGTGTGAGATTAAAGAGCTAGTATTTAATTTAATGTTTTAAATAATCAACCTTATAGTTTATATACATAAATCCATAACTTTCATAACAATAGCACTGGCAGTATCTTTCTGCTTTTAGTTTTACAGTCGACAGATTTCGTAATAAAAATTTTTGATTGGTCTGTGCAAGTTAACTCATCTTTAACTTTTGTAGGACGTATAATCTTAATTTTGTTTTTTGTTTTGTTTTTGTTTTTGACTTATCAGTCAAGTCGCTATTATTTTTTTTCCTAGTTTTTAAGTTAAGCTTTGTTAAACAATATTATTGGTCAGATATATATATATATATCTACACATGTTCGTCGGTAATTTGTCTAAGTCATTATGCAGTGATATTTATAAATTGCAAATGTTGTGTATAATATATTGTACCATACCTGTCACTTTAGAGGTTACTTTGCTTCTGTATGTAGGCATGAGTGTATATGTTACAGGTCAAATTATATATTAGTAAGGGTAAAAATTTTTAAATCTTGGTTGATTCTCAATTTTCTTTGTCTCTTAGCCCTAATTATTCAAAGGAAATAGAGTCAATCAACCTTAAAAGGTTGAAAAATTTATTCCTGAAATTATTTTATTTTGACTGGTAACATACACATATTGTAAAAGAAACTTAAAATGCAGACAGGGGTGTATTAAAGTTCTTAGAAAACAGCTGTTCCTAGGATTCAACCTGTATTGCATATAGATTTCTGTGTATCAAGACAGTGATAGTGAAGTTTACAATTCTTGGAAAAGCAGAGAGTCATTTGCTAAAATAACATGCTATTATCATTGCAATAATTGTTAACCATGAAACTGAAAGAAAGTATTAGAAAAATTACCATGGTTATTTTCTAAAATGATGATATTGAAATAATCTCCTGATAAAAGAATACAGTGTATAAAATGCTGGGTTCTAGAATCATTTGTGATAAATTAACAGTAAAACGGAATTTATGATTGAATGCCAAGGTGCCTTAATGACAAAACGTTATAAACTTGATTCAAAACATATATATTACTTTGTGCTCCCTGAAGGTCAAATGTTTTATTCATTTTTTATGTCAACAGATTTAGATAAGCTTTCTTGAGAAGGCTAAACCAAGTCTACATTATGTCAACCCCAAAGACTTCTATTACCAATCATTATTTGTTGGAATCCGAACTTTCACCGAAAGTTAATATTGCCATGTCTACAGAAGAGATACCTGCCAACGGCAATGCACATAACTCAGAGCAGGTAAGAAGGATGATAAGAGATAAAATGTCCAGGTTTTTTACTATATCTTTACAGTGTTTTAACTACAACTGTACTGTAACTTATTTTTGGGATTAAATCTAAACTCTTGTGCTTTCCTTGAATTTTCATGAAAAAAAAAACAGCACTGTGGTGTGCATGTAAAGTTGGGTACATGTATATATGCATGTGTGTTGTTAATATAAATTGTTGCAGTAGAACTACCTATTTTAAGATGACTTATTAATAACTGTGACATAATATGGGTGCAGTATTGATCCTGAACAAATCAGTTTAAAAAAATTCAAAATTGTGACCTCTCACGCAACAACATGCCTAATGGCTTTCCGTTTACAAGCTGCTTGTCAACCGTTCGAATGGCTTGGTCACCCATTTACTAGAAACATCAACCCATTCGAACTGCTTCGTCACCCACTCATTAAAAACATCAAACTGTTCGAACGACTTAGTCATCTGTTCATTGAAGGCGTCAGGCCGTTTGAACGACTTGGTCACCCATTCGCTGAAGACATCAGGCTGTTTGAACAACTTGGTCATCCGTATAATGTCATGGCATCCCTTCAAATTTTCTGTCAAATGACGTGGAAGACGAGTAAAACAATCCGTTCAAAATATTTCACTCGTTCAAGTAGTCTGTTAATTCCATGTTAACAAGATCTGTTCGACCTCATTGACACAAGTTTGTCGGCTTTAAACTCTTATTTTGGCCTTATTAAAACAACGCGCTTACACTTGTGATCGTTCAGTAGATGTTTTTTTTCTCCAGATGTAGCAAACTTATGAGCTTTTCGGCAGAGATGATTCCTTATCAGACGAAAAATCTAAGCTAAAGATATCATATGTAAACAAAGCGTTTCAAAAGAAACCCTCCCAACACTTTTGCTTTCCGCATATATACATTACAAACGAAATATTTTTTGTCAACGACTTGTTCTACATAAAAAATAAAATTGGACAGTTCAGACAATGCGGCGTTCGATCTCCAGGTTTATCAGACGATGAATTGAAGCCATATGGTTAATCCAGAAACACCTATACCAGTTATAACAATGAGCAACTGTTGCATTTTCAATGCGAAAACCAAAGCATACACAAAAGGTTTAATATGTTTTTTTTTTTTTAAAAATAGCCTAATAAATATAATGCCATAATTATGCCAAGATTCACGTATTTAAAATACTCAAATGAGCATTATGTAAGGGAATATTTGAAAAATATGTATTGAAGTTAAAAATGCATTCAGTTAAATGGAGCCAACTATTATATTGTATATAATTATAAAAAATATAATACATTTGTGATATACATACAAACTAAGCAATAAAAGCACCAGTATCGATAAAAAAACATCAAATCATCGCACCATGATATAGTATTTGACTTTCCTTGATCTTAGCTTTGTGCCAACTGGTTTTTATTAATTATTGAATTTATTGTTAAAGACTTGGCAAAAGGGGTAAGGAAAGGCAGATACATGTATGATTGTACAGTGTATTAATTTGCTGCCACAGGAGTGGCTCAAAGTTGTAGCTCAATCTTGCTGACTTTAATTTTTAGTGATGAGGGACAGGACTAGTTAGTAAAAATTCAAGCTTAGATCTAGTTGTTTTTTTTTTTGTAAACATGCAATAGAAAACAGTATGCTACAAAATGAAACCTTTGAGCAGTACAATATTTTTTTTTTGCATTTTTAATTTGTACGTTGATGAAAATAATTAGGAAATTGTCATGCCTACTGTTAACCCTTTAAGTCCCAATAGTGACCAACAGCAATTTTCTCCTAACGATGTCCATACATTGTCATGAGGTGAGGTTATGAGAATTAATAAGATGATCACCTAAGGGAAAATGCTTTGATCTTTTATCAATTTCTCTTAACTAATTCTTAAAGGGAATGTATAGAGATCAGTTTGGAGAATGTGTATGTGGATATTGGGGCTTAAAGGGCTAATGCATACAAGTTTAATAAAAACTGTCTAGTAACATTTGTCGCTGAATTTCAGGCTGTTTCACATGGAATTCTCACCTTATTTAAACAAAGAGTGCACTACATACCAGTAGTGTTTACATTTTAATCAACACTTTCATTTTGTTACATTCATTGCAGATAAACAAATTGGTTGCTTAACAATATTAATCGTGACAGCCAATGCAAAAAACATTTAAAAATGCTCCAAAATTCAATAATTTATTGCTATTGGTACATGTAACTCTCTGTTCCTTCTGAATGGAAGACTTCATCAGCACAAAGGTAGAAGAGGTTTATTTGAATCAGGTTTCAGTCTTGTTAAAAATTCCAAGACAAATTTAGACCCTTTCACAGTTTTTTCAACTTTTGGCTGGGACCAGCAGGCGAAAATCCATCAGTGTAGATGCCTGGATAATTGCTTACTATAATTTTTTTGATAAAAACTTTAAAAAAACATGATGGGGTTTATTTCATTGTGATGTTGAATCCTTTTTAACTCAAACTTAAAATAATACTTTTTGTCAGTCTTCAGAAGAAGATGAGGTTGATGCTACTGAATTGAAGAAGTTTGATGCAGCTTTATTTGATATCCAGAAGGTTCCATCAGAGCAATTTGCTGTAAGTATTAATTGTCAAGGTTTTTAGTTTAGTTGCTGATTTCTAAACAAAATGACCAATAAATAATTATTAATCTTTGAAGGGTACTAATACTAATATTGTCCCGTGTGCTTTGTTATTGACTGCTAAATTTCCCTTCCAAATTGTTTTGTATTAAACGTGCATGTGAAACAGATTTAGAATTTAACATTACATACATTAAGAGTCGTTCTCTGACTCTAAACATCTCTTCAGTTGAAGTGGTGTGCATGGGGTTTGGGTATTTTAAGACCATTAACATCTTATTTGTCTAATATAAAAATCTCCCTTTGATTGACATGGATGTACAAGGCAATGATTAATTTAAAAGAAGAATCTCAACATATATCAAAAGTTGCTTGCTTTATTAAGGGCTTCTATTTTTTTTGTTATCAGTATGTAATTCAGTTTTAAGAATTAAAGAGAAATTTATTTTTATTTGAAGCCTGTAGGATTAATTTGACTCAGATAACAGACAAGTAAATTCCATTTATCAGGTATTTCACAAAGTTCTAATTCACTCAGCAGAAGTTTGATTTGTTGTCCTTCTTTTTCATTTTTTTCTTACAGCAACAGCTCACTATCTTAGATCTGGCTGTGTTCAAGTCAATTCAACCAGATGTAAGTATCAGATCAGGTTCTCCATACCTGGGCACAGGATTTTGCCTGGCTATACAAAATGTGCAGTGACTCCTTCAGTAGAAATCCAAGAATAAAATGACAGTACTGACAGTGCCATAAGCACACAATATTTTAAGCAATTTACTATGTGCTTGCAAAGCTAATGAGACAGTTTTCTTACACAAATTAAGAATTTGTTCATGCTTAGCGTGCGTGTATCAAGTTATGGATGCACGCGGGAAGTTTGGAGAGCACGAAAGATGCGTAAGAGTTGCATGAGGCGATAGCCGAGTGCAACTCTAGCTTCTTGAGTGCTCTCCAAACTTCCCAAGTGCATCCATAACTTGAGAAATGTACAGCTAAAAGCATGAGCAAATTCTTTTATAACATAGCTGACAAAAATGCTTGCTTTTTGATTAACTGCAAAATTCTCGTAACGTGCGACACAATAACAAACGGTTCTATTTGCTGATTATGAACACACCACAATCGTCTAGTTTGAATGAAAATATTCTTTCTGTAAAAGTGAGAAAAAAAATTTGCTTCTTTATTCGTTAACGATCAATGGAAACTAAGCCTAAACAAAGGTAAAAGAGTCTTAAAGTTCACTTAAAGTTTTAAAAAATCCTCCGTGACATGTTCGTGAGAAGTCATGGAGTATGGTTGGGATTTGCTGAAAAGATGTTCACGTTTTGCTCGGCGAAATCCGGAAAAGATGTTTTTAGCGACGACGACTTCATTTACGAACATTGGCTGGTCATTACGGCTTCTTGAGAAGACCTGGCAGCAGTTGTTTCTGTGAGTAATAAATTTATGTCTCCTTGTGTAATTTGTGTTGTTATTGCGAGGGAAATTTTCCTGCTTCAGTCGGATTGTTCGGAGATAACAAAGTGCATAACAAATTTAAAAACAACAATAAAAACGGAAATTTTGCCTTTAAATGTTGTTGATGACCAGTTGGTGTCTGTTCTGTTCCCAGTGAATGTCTTTCGGCCAAAATTTGCGGCAGCTGATCTTCGACAAATTTGTGAAACGCGCAACTTGCGAGTTTTTTTTAATTCGGCTTTATTTTTGCTGCTTGTTGGATCAGGACCTAAAAGGTCAATGCCGATAGAAAAATTGGCAGTTCTTCGCTCGTTTCTTACATATTTCAAAGAGAAGGAAAAGTGCACTGCATCTTAAAAGGCGACAACTTTGCAGCCAGGTTAAAAAATGCTTACGTCATGTTATTTACGCACGGGCGTGCGTAAATAAAGATTTTGTTCATAGCGGCTCAATAGGACTTATATAGGGCAAGCACGCGCGCTATGTTATAACACAAACTTTACTGTTTTTAATGAGCATCAAAGATGTGAAGATGGTAAGAAATTTTTGGTGCCAGTTTAAAAAGGAAATTCTTGACTTATTTAGGACATGTTTTACATGCACTTGTAGAAAAGACATGACATCTTTTTTTTCTTTTCGGTAACTATTTAAATGGTACTTAAATCAGCGGGGGTGATATTTGAAAGCACGAACTGAAGGCCTCTCGCAGTAATCTTTTAATAAAGATAAGCTTTCAATTTGAGATAATTAATTCTAATTTGAATTTATTTTTAGGAGTTATCAGGCTGTGGTTGGACAAAGAAACTTAAGTATGAACTTGCACCAAATGTGGTAGCCTTCACTAAGAGATTTAATCATGTAAGTTGTCGAAATTGATGTTTTACATTGTACTTTAAAATGAATTTTAAGTGGAATAAGGTAGACCTAAACTAGTTTTATTTTAATTTTTTCGTTGATTAAAGTTGTTCAGAATTTATTTGTTACTAATGAACAGTATTTTGCCAATGACTTAGAGATATTTTTATCCAGGTGAAGATTTAACCCCTTGCTGGAGTTATAGATGTCATGAAAGTGATGATGTTAGTGCAAAAAATTTTGATAACCCTCAAAACAAAACCCTGGAAGGGGGAAGATTTCACACTTTTTGTTACATTAATTTGCTGTATGGTCACTGCATTTTTTAATAATGCAATGTTTATGGAGGACACCAACATATGGCCGCCAATATTATTTTTCTCTTTCTTAAGATTAAAAGCAAGATTAATTTATGTGACTCCTCAGATTGATTGATTGAATAGTATAAATTAATGTTCAGGGCTGTCATTACGTTTTGAAGCAGCTGTTGCAAAAAAAGATTCACCCATTACGGCCCTTAATGACAGCTCTGATGTTAATACAATATTGGAGCAACACATTGTTCAAATATCTTAAAATTTATATCCCTCTGTTGAATAGGTTAGCTTCTGGGTTGTCAGAGAAATCCTTAATGCCAACACACCAAAGATCAGAGCTGCAGTTTTGACTCATTTTATTAAGATTGCTAAGGTAAACTATGAGTGTATATAGTTATTTAGGTATGTTGACGACGATGATGATAGCTATGACAATAAATGATGATGATGATGATGGTGGTGAAAATGGTGATACTAACGATAATGGTAACAGCAAAAGTGTTACTGATGATCATGATATATGGTGTTGGTATATGGTGTTGATATATGGTGATGGCTGTATGATGGTAATCATGAAAATGATTGCATTGTTGATGATGATGTTTGTGGTGGTGATGATGATGGTGTCAATGGTGGCTATGATGACTGGGAATAATAATGTTGACGATAGTGGTGGTGATGATGGTGATGATGATAATGACAGTGATGCGATGATGGTGATGTTAATAGTGGTGATGATGGGTTTGATGTTGATGTTGATGAAAGATGAAGCAATAATACACTGTCATTGTAATGGAGAAGAAAGGTGAAAAACAATATTCTCAGATTCTTTTAATAAGTTGTCAGTTTTTACCATCTACAGCCTTTGCATTATTTATCTCACAGAAACTACTGGAAATAAATAACCTACATTCTCTCAAAGCTGTAATATCTGGTCTCCAAAGTGCTGCTGTCTTCAGGCTTGACAAAACTTGGGCAGTAAGTATAATAAATCTCAGCTGTCTAGACAGTGGATTTATTACATAAACTAATATTTCATGTAATATATCATGTAATAGATTAGTGCAAGTACTTACATTTGTAGGAAAGTATCCCCAGTTAGCAAACTGTTAAGCTAAATACATTCTCTCAAAGCTGTAATATCTGGTCTCCAAAGTGCTGCTGTCTTCAGGCTTGACAAAACTTGGGCAGTAAGTATAATAAATCTCAGCTGTCTAGACAGTGGATTTATTACATAAACTAATCTTTCATGTAATATATCATGTAATAGATTAGTGCCAGTACTTACATTTGTAGGAAAGTATCCCCAATTAGCAATCTGTTAAGCTAAATACATTGACGCTAAAATAAAGTTATTATTTATTTATTATTTAAATACATCATCTGCTCATTGTACCTATTAAAAACCAATAAAAACAAATTGCTGTAGTGTTAGTTTTAGGGGTTTTTCTGATAACACGACAAGGAAAACCTAATAGGATAGTGTTCGTGGTGAGTTTCAAGAACCAAAATTCGATTTATCGAGGTAAATTTTGATCAAGGAAAACAATTTTTTTTTTTAGTTAGTGGGGGATTCGAGTTATCTGAGTTCGAATTACCAGGGTCCTACTGTATTCATGAATTGTACATCTCTTTCTTTGTGCATTGCAGTTGCTCCAAAGGAAGGATCGTGCAGTGTTTGATAAGTTGGCAGATTTTCTTTCAGAAGAAGAGAACAAGTGAGTAGAAGCATAGTATTTTTTCATTACTAAGTCACTATTATATATTGCAATACTGTAAATCCTGGTCATAAGCCCCCCTCCCTCCTCCCTCAGTTATAGCCTCATCTGCTTATTAATTCCCCCACCCACCCCCACCCACCCCCTGTGGCCCTTGCCCGCATTGATAACCCTTGAGACATGGTTGACAGTGCTACAACATGTCATGTAGGGTGCAAAGAAAGTCAGTTTGACAGCCTGCCATTTGGGCAGGCTGTAGCTAGCATGTAGTAGCCGACAAGTCATTTCAACTGGCCCCAAAACCGCTTTTGATTAGCAGGATTGATTACAATCCTTCTGTAATTTGAATTTCCCCGAGAAATAGCACTTGCCTGTCGGGCAAGTTAAGAAAAAAATCACTAGCTTGATAGCAAAATCCACTAGCCCGCGCTATCGGACACGACTTTCTTTGCGGGCTGTCATGTTTATAGAATTTAAGTCTGTATTCGGAGTATGCTCTGAGAAGCGTGCTAATAAACCTTGTTTTGTTGTTCATTCTAGGAAAAACCTGAGGGAATATTTAAGTTCAGTTAAACTGCCCTGTATTCCATACATGGGTAAGTGAAAAGACAGACCACCTCATCAACTGCAGACTTCTTAATAAAAAATATTTTTCACCCAGGACTAAAATTTTTTTAAATATCTAAGACTCAGTGAATTTTACAGTTAACCACTTGATGCATGGTCTGATATCTTCGATCGCTGATTTTACTACACCATTCAGACTATTATAACTTAGAAACTGCAAGCAGTAGATTCTCTTTGTGGAAGAGACATGGTCAAAGAAATTGATGACTTTTGTGAAAATGTACCCTTTAACAATTGTTTTCCAGTAACGTAGTGGTAAACTTGTTTCATGTATTTTTAACAGGCATGTACCTGACAGATTTAACTTACATTGACACAATTCATCCAAACACTGGAGGGCTGGATGATGCAAGAACTCGTAAGGTAAAATGAAGGGATAAAGAAATCATTTTGCAGTTCAATGGTAGCTAAATCATTGTTCACGGTTTTGTTTTTGTCTTTCAGATGAATAATGTTATTCGACTAATATCCGAGTTCCAGCAGTCGGATTATGGTAAGGCTTCAAATTCTCAGTTTTTGGTTTCTGTCGATCATAAATATGCAAACTCTAGCCTCCCACACAGACATTCATAGGGCTTTGTCACGTATTGCTTCCCCAAGGAATGAATCTTTTATGAGTGTTTCAATCGTCTCTGCTATATTCCAACTTCGTGCCACCCAGCTTAAGCTAGTTCCTGTTATTGATCTTTTCTCTCTATTTGTTTCAGAAAATCTCGAGCCATCCACTTACATTCAAAGTTACCTAAGCTCTGTCAACTACATTGAGGAACTGCAGAAGTTTGTGGAAGATGACAACTACAAGTAAGAAATAATAAGATCAGAGATGGCTCAACTTGACCGACACTACGTAAATAGAGTGGGAATGGGCACAAGCTTTTGAAGCAAGGATTTCTGTGATCATTTGGGTGAACAAGCGTTACTTATGATTGGTCAATGGTATCCAAAGGCAACCATTAACCAATCATTGCTTTCATTGTTCATGCAAATGAGCCTAGAAACCTTTGCATAAACTGATTGTAACCATTCTCCTTGTAGTTTATCAAATGGTCATGAAACACAGTTTCCTGGGCGTGTCACGAGAGAACTGCTGTTTTACCCGTATACTACTTTTTAAAGCCGTTTTCTGGTCACAATATAGTCAAAATATACCATATTTTAACTTTCTGTGCAACCAGACAACTACACTTCCTTTCCTGCTCTGTACAAATGTAGATGCAATCGTGTCTACACTAACTCATCTTTGCTTTATCAGAGGAAATCTTCATGAATTTGGTCAATATGCTCTTAATTTTAATGTTTGGAGTGACTGGCAGACAAATATTGACTTTTTTGGTTGCATGAATTTCTCGATTCAGATTGTCCCTTCAAATTGAGCCGAAGAACAGCAGTTCTAACTTGAATTCCAAGGCTTCCAAGTCAAGGGAGAGTATAAGTGGTAAGAAAGGCATCAATCATACTCAATCAATCTACTATGTTACATAACCATGGAAACGTCAAAGTTCAAAGTAACCGACCATGACAGTTACTGAGATGTTTACTTCGGGTTTTAGTCCAATGAGAAACTAACCAATCAGAAGGGTGGCTATTAAATTTCCTGCGAAAAAGACTCACGGCGCGCTGCTTGTAGCGCGGGAAACAAACTCAGTGCAACCCCTTTACCTGTTTACGAAAAACACCACCGTGGCGAGAAACGTACCGTGGGAGGAAGCTATGATTATATTGTCACAGTACTGGTCTATGTTAGACTGTGTTGTCGTGGTTTAAGATAAAATATTTGAGGGATAAGGAGTGTTAAAACCTTGATTTGTCCTTGTTTAGGTGGTTCAAATTATACATTGGGAGTGGATATTTTGTGATTATTATTTACATGTATCTATAAACATTTCCAATTTACAGATGTGCCCAGAAGTTCGCCTTTTCCATCTCGTCCTAAATTTGTTCCAGGCCACCGAAAATCTGCCAGCCTCGGAACATGGTAGGTTTGCTGTTTTGAGTTAGGATGTAACCTCCCCCCACCCCCCACCCCACTTTTTTTACCGGGTGTATTTCAGAGTACTAGCCCGCTGTTTTTCTCTAATGCTTGCCCTGTTCGCTCACCTGCAATGTATCATAATACTACGTATGTTTTAAAGACTTGGGACTCAGTGTCCGGAAGTAAAGAAGGGATTATGCAAGAGAGGGAAAGATAGAGAAATTGTATAAGAGATACATAGTACTGTGGGTGCCAGAGCCCTTTCATAAGCGGTTTCCGGTTTCAGTCAAGTCTTTAAAGTGAAGTGATTTCGCGCGGCTTCTCCACTCGAAGCGAAGCATTTGAAGAATCTCGCTGTACGCGAGAAAAATTCTCTGGTATCCAGGGTAGGTCCATAGCAGCTTCTATTTTAAAGCAAATTTGAATTGTTCGCCATCTCGGGATGTAGGTCGAAAAAATTGGTGTTAGTTTTATTACTGTTGGTATTTTTCCAAATGTATATCCCGTAAACTACAAAATAATTATGCCAATTCACTGTAGGGTAACTGCTTCCAAAAGCCTGGTATTGCAAACTTCATAAATATTGTCGATCTTTATATTTTAGTATAGTGATGTTTGGCGGTGACCTTTCGTCGACGGAGTCTTTGAGGTAAGATACTTTGCAACAAGCAAAGCAGTGCTAATATAGCAAAGATGGCCCTAAAGCAAGCTGTTCGATGTTGTGCATGAAACTGGGGCTAAATTCGTCTTTCAAAATAGACCCATCGTCCAATTCAACATAACCCTTGACTCATGTAAAGTTTTCTTGTACAGGAACGTGTAACTGGTGCTTAGAAAGTTGTTTTCATCCTTAAATTTAAGATCCAGTTATGACAACTTAACAGTAGGGAGATAAAAAGAACGTAGAGGGTACGCCATAGTACAGTGCTGAATTTTACCAACTTTTATATAAGTACCTTCCGAAGTAGCGCTTAAACTTGACTATGGATTTTGAACAGATATTTGAGTACAAATGAGACGAATGAAATAAAGGTTTTCCTGAAAACTCCTGTCGAGATTTAAAATTTTAATCCTGGAATAGCGAGTATCGGCCTTCTTCAGTGTGCAATGAAACTACTTATATTATGTCGGCACGAGGGGCTAAAATGGGCGGGGCCTCTATTTATCAAGATCTTATTTCCAACCATGGCTATTCGGCGACACTTCTCTTTCACGACTGTAAGTCTCATTTTCGTTGATTTGCAGTTACAGTATAGCGAGCAGTACTGGGTCACGCAATCTTTTGGATGACAGCATGGTTATTGATGAAAGAAAGGCCTCTCTTGGTGAGTGCCTTAAGGCAAGCGTCAAGAAAATTAAGATCATTACTAGGGTCCATGTAGAGAGGATTTGTCATTTAACTAAACTAAGGCCCGGTTCAGACTCCGAACTTTTCATGAGCCAAACCTAATACATTGAATTAAGTGCGTGAAATCAGTTAGGGGCGCCTGTTTCAATTTGGAACGACTCAGCCGTTTTTTTCGCCTAGCCAGGCCGGGAGTTTCGCCTTTGGAGCGACTTTTGAACGGCTTTGATTCAGACGTCGAACTTTTCATGTACTGAACTTAATGCATAAATTATTATAACGTAGTTTGTAAGCAACTTGACGGAAATGAGCATTTTGGCCTTTTGAACTTAGTTCAACTGCAATTAAGATCGGCGTCTGAATCAATTTAGCCGGTCTAAATAATTTGGGTCGGCCTTAATTCGAATTACCTTCGGCTCATGAAAAGAACAGCGTCTGAACCGGGCCTAAGTCTTTTTTGCACTTTGTTCTTGTCCCCAGGAAATCTGACCAGATCAGACTCGACTATTGACAGGCACAGGTAAATTTCTTTTTTATTACCGTCCCACTTTTCAGTTACGCTCTTACTGTAAACTGTGGGCATCACTGTTTAGTTTAGCCTGCACCTCAGCCGAAACTAAACCTCTGTTCGGGGTTAGTTCACATCAGTAACGCAGGCTTTGTTTCTGAAACAGCCACCTGAATTTTTGAAAAGGAGGCTTTTCAAGCGAGAAGTCAGCTGTTTAGAAACGAAGGTTGCTATTTAAGGGAAAGGGCCCGGTGTGGGGACGCTTTTAAAGCTTATATAAGTTCTTATTCATAGAAGTACAATTAAACATTACACATAATACTTCATTGTTGATTCGCTTGTACGATTTTCCATTCATTTTTCACTTCCTAACTTAAAATGTCTCCTTTCAGAGCATTTTTTCAAGTGCTTGATTTATTTTTCTCCCACTCTCTTTTTCTATATAGTATCGTCAGCGATGCTAGTAGCACAGAGTTGAGCCAGTATTCATCGGAACACGACTTTGTTGTCGAAGGTAATCAGTTGACTCAAACCTTAATATAAATATATCTCTTTTTTGGCAAGCATAACCAACTTTAATCCGCATGTGAAGTCTCCGGGTATGTGTGCTACATTAAAAAATCTGGAAAATTATTGAACATTGCGATTTCACCTTTTATTAAGATCTAAGAAAATTTGTAATTATTCAGTTACCTGGAAGTGTTAGCGAAAATAAGGCAAGTTTTTATGGTAGTGTGAGCATCACTTCTTTCATGAGGGTCGTAAAAAACCTGAAATGAATTTATTTCTCATAGAAAATAAGAACAGGAAAGGTGACTTGTTTTTCATCTCATCCTGTAAAACCTTCGGGAATTGTAAACCTCGCTTCACAGACACCTCATTATAACGGACAGTTTGCTTTGCTTTTCCCTGAGGAAAGAAACCCCTACATTACTCTAAATTCAACCCGCTTAGGGTCCGTTTGCATGGAGGAGGGGGACCCCAGGTAGGTGGAGTAACCCGCTTAGGTGGGGTAACCTGCCTGTTCATATAATTTCTCATTTTAGTTTGATCACGTTTACATGGTAGGTGGGGTGACCCACCCACCCCATCCTCTGTGTAAACAGGCCCTTAATGCGGACAGTTTCCAAGGCCCCCTTGTGTCCCGTACTAACGGGGTTTTACTCGGTATCTTGGAATTTTTCTTTAGGGTTCGTCAAAAGAAAGAAAATATTAAAAGAAGGCAAAAAGCTGGCGGTGAGTTGGTATATAATACTAAGCAGAAAATAATTCAACTGAAGCTACATTTTTGCTTCGTAAAATTGTTTCCTTATCCCCGTTATCTCCCAAACAAACGAGTAATTATAATAATGAGCTTCGCTGCTCTTTCATTGTAGGTGTCATCGTGGCAAAAGTTCTGGGTGGGTCTTTGTGGAAACTGGCTTCATTTTTTCCTTCCCAAGCACAGAACCTTTGGAAGACGGGACAGAGCCGCTGTAAGTTGTACTTAAACATTCTTGATAGTCTACTTATTTCTGTAACGAAAAATGTTATAAAAGTACGACTAGTCATTGTCCTCAAGGATAGAGAGCACTCAAAATACGCGAGCGCACGTGAAAGGCGGCACTCGAGGGCAAGATAGGTTCTCTCTTCTCTCTTTTGCGTGTCGCCTTCCTCGCGCGCAGAAATTTTCATGCATTCTTGTGAACTTTGCTCGCTCTATTAAGGTTGGTTTCCATGCACTGTCGCGTAATGTTTTTGTGCATATGCACGTGAACAAAATAGAGGCAATGTGTAAAGTGTCGCGCGTGAACGTAAAAGGTGAGCGAGGTTCAACTTTTACGTTTACGCACGACCTTTCATATATGACCTCTGTTTCATTTACGCGCATAAATTAAATTTTACGCGGGTACGCACGTAAAAATTACGCGACAGTGGAAATCCACCCTTATTCGTCAGGGAAATGAGTGACTAGTCGAAGTCTAGAGATTTGTTCATCGACAATGGTGGTTTAGGTATGATAGTTTCCATCTATCGTTTGCCTCACGAAAGTCTCATTGTCTTGACACCTTCCTATTGGTCCGTGCAGGGTGACTTTGCCCTTTGGATTTGTGGGATTATTAGCAGCACCTTCCTGTTTTAAGTACTAGAAGCTGTTCTCTAGACGATCCGCTGTGGTTCCAATCAGGCTCAATCACCTGAGGTAAAACAACAGAAAGTGGTCAAAGCGTCACCATCGACAACAAAGTAACGATCGTAAAACACGATGAACGAACTCCATCTCCTCCTCCGTTTTTTTCCCCTTTAACTTCCCTACCTTATTGTCCCTGATCTCATTTCTGTTTTCTTTGGTTGGTCTTGTTTTTTGTAGTTTAGAAGACAGGCTCACAAGATGGTGAATATTACTAACTTCACGGTTGTTTTGCTGGAAGATCCTCGTCACCAGGACACGTTTCAACTCACAGACGACACCAGAGGTGAGATGACGAACAGTGAGTCAGTGTTAGTTGTTGTTACGGCGGTTCCGTGATTAATTTACTCTTTGGCTCTTAGGAGTTCAAATGCAGAAATTTACTGGACAATTGCAGGACTGTCACTAAGATTTTAAGTTGACGGGCACATGTAGTTAATAGGCGGGGGATTGAAAAGCTAGGAAGTTCTTTTGGTTCCATTTTCCTTTTGCTTCCTATGGAAGAAGCCGGAGGTAGTGCTTATAATGCGACTGAAATAAAAATATTGAATTTTATTTGTAAAATACTAAAGAACTAACACTGTAGCACTTTGTGAAAGAATGAGAGCATTGGATTAAATAGTCAATCGTATAAGAATTTCACAGATCTGGAACAGCGCAACGCAATTGACCACTCCAGAAAATACCATAACATACCATAATGCTCTTTGTTTGTCACCCCAAAATTTTGCATAAGCATTGTCTTCAGTTTCTCTTGGGAGTTAAAATGGCCCCAAGAGAAACTGAAAACAATGCTAATGCAAAATTTTGGGGTGATAAACAAAGAGCATTATGGTATGTTATGGTATTTCTGGAGTGGTCAATTGACTTTCAAGGTGAAGGAGCCCCCCTCCCCACCCCTCACGTGTATACACGTGGTGGCGTGGTGAGTCAAAGGGTAGGATTCTTGGCTATTTCCCTTTAAAAGGCTTTCCCCTATAAAATCCAACTTAAGTGTGAGATGCCAAAAAGCGGATGTTATTTGACAGAAACTTGACTCAGTACTGAGAGATATCTCAGGTATGGTTTGAGTACGTCTCGTGCTAATATAACTTTGTGTTGGGGAAATGCAAAACCACCGTAAAATCGATCAAGGTTTGTTTTCCTGCGTCTATTTTGTTCACAGGAAACGCATACAAGTTTAAGGTAGGATCTCAGTCTGCTGCTCTGACGTGGTACACATATGTGAGGCAAGCTGCTAAGGAGAAACCAGACCAGACGGTAAGTCTTACTAATTTTGCAAATTGGCCGCAAGAAGGCACCACGCCCAAGCCCCTTCTTTCGTTTATAGCTTTCTCGCGGTAGACAAGCGTTCGTCTCCCACGAAAAAACTGAACTTTATTTGAGTTAGCACTGAAGAATTAATCAAGGACACTATCGGGGCCGCCATTTTACGTGGTCATGCGAGTTACGCGAAGGTCTAACTGTTTGCAGGGCAAAGTCAGTACCTTCATTTCTCAGTTATTTTAAGACCTTGAGTATTGGTCCGGCCCCAGGAATCGAAGACGTGACATCCCGCATTGCAGGCAAGCGCTCTACCTACAAAGCTAGTAGTGACACGCGTTTATGTATACAGCTTTACATTTTATGGCTTCTTATTTCTCTATGACATTCAATTTGAACTCTTCCATATTTCTGGGACACTCCGTGCCGTCCACTGCTTCACTTTTTGGCGATTGAAAAGACTCGTCATTTTGTATGTTCAAAAGCATCAATGCGTGGGTGGAACCCGAGCTGGAATCTCATGCTTGTACAGTTACTGAACATGTTTGCCCTTTTTTACTTCCATTATAGGTTCCACAGAACTTAATTACATTTGAAGAAAGCGAAGAACAACAAAGCTAACAGTAGCTCTAAGGATGAATGGAAAATCCTACGCTCAGAGAAAGTGAGATAAAAAGAATGCTCCAGAGAGATTACGGAAAAAGGAGGCAAAGGAGTCGGGCATTGCCACATGGGATTATCAAAGGCATTTCTGTCAGCAGACACATAGTTCCCGTGATAACTGGTGATTTGTATCTACCAAATACGGCTTTAAACAAAGAATTTTTTGCGTCGGAGCCCTGACGCCAGAGAAGACATTCAATCAAGTCTGCACAGCTTATTTATTACCTCGTACTACATCACAAATGAGAGGATTTTAGTGTGTTGCGCAGATATTTTGGTTAACCAGTGCCGCTTGAGGATTCCCGAGCGGAGGGAAACGAGTTTCAGTCTTAAACTTACGTTAGCTGGGCTGATTTGGAAACTTTATTTGGCTAAGGAGTTTTAAAGTTTTTACGCTGCGTTTGATTTGGTGGACTCGCCAGTTAACCGTAGCGCAGTTTGTGTTGTAGTCTCTAGACAATAATGGAAGACCTGTGTGGTCATTGTGTAAAAATTAATAGCGAAAACAAAGTATTGAAACCGGGGCGTAGCTAACAAGAGGCGAGACTTAGCACTAGTCTAATCAAGACTTTAACTTGGCCTGATTACCGGCCGCTGTTCGGGAAATGAGTTCCTAAAACGATCATTATACGTTTGTGGGAAACTGCCCATCTACCCCTCCCCTAAGCCAACATTTTGCCCTAGGTGAGTAGTAAGTGTTAATATTGGCCTAGGGGAGGGTTAGGTGGGCAGTTTCCCGTAGAACGTTTAATGAGCCATAATCCCCCATTAGTGAGATTGATGTTTATGAGGAAATACCTTATGATCAATGCTGAAAATAGCCTCTCAGAGTTTTTAGATTCAAGATTGTCTGGGAGCCTCCAGACTCACCTAGCAGCTCGCGCCTTCAATGTTCGCATATCTTGCCTCGTCTATGAGGTCTAGCCACCGCTCTGGAAACATTTGTTTGTTAAAAAACTTACATCACTAGTTCATTGCGTTAAACTGCATTCATAGCTATTTCTTGAAGATTTTATTTATGACTTTCAATTCAGACGTTTTATATATGAGGACCCATTTCAGTGCAAACGGAAATTTCCAAAATGATGGGTTATGAATTGTCTTATTTATATTTTAGGGGTACACTGATTTAAATGATCTGATTCCTCTATTTGCAAATACATGCTTGCGAGTCACTGATGTAATGTGCGGTCGTCCCGTTTTATAGGCATGGAGATGCCGAAGAGGAAGGGCAGTCCCCAGTCCCCACCCACTCGATCCCTGGGCGAACAAAGCACATTCCTATCAAAAGACTCAAACAACCAACTAGAAAACTGAAATACTCGTCATGTGCCGCGCGCTTAGCGTTCTTTTTAACAACATAGAGGATACATGTCATACCTCAGAGCTGAATTCTACTAACATTTTATATAAGTACTTTCCGAAAAAAACGTTTAAAATTGATTACGGATATTGAACTGAATTTTGATTACAAATAAGACGAATGAAATAAAGGTTTACTGAAAACTCTCGTCGCTTTCTTGTTTCTGTCGGCACGGCGTTAAAAAATGAAGCCTGCACGAGCCCACAAGCAAAGTATAACTACAGCAGCAAAAGGCTGGTTAGCCTGCGTGGCCGGCGTTGAAAGGGGAAGGGGAAGGGGGAATTTGGGCGCGCGAGAGAGCGTGTGGGGCGCCCCACACGCTCTCTCGCGCGCCCAAATTCCCCCTTCCCCTTCCCCTTTCAACGCCGGCCACGCAGGCTAAAGGCTGGTAAAGTGAACAAAGAGCTGACTCAGCAAGGGAGGAGGGGGGAGGGGGGCAAGTAGCCTGCGAATACAGCTGTCTCTCCTCGTTCCTCGCACGTTAGGAACGTTGACCGTAGAAAGACGCCAGTAGTCGCAGGCCAGGTGGAAGGCATGGAGAAAACAAAAACTGTAAATTGGCAGAATGCCCTCCCTCCCAATGTTTTGTGACTTGTTCTCTGTCTTTCCGCCGAGCTAAACTATCTGTCAAGGGAATCCCGATTGCTCTAGCACTCGGTTTCTCAAGCCTAGCGATACTTTGGAAACGAAACTATTTTCCATCTTTTTTATCGTGTGACATCTGTAATTTTTTCGCTTTTTGACCATCCACGAGAAAAAAAAATATTTTAGTGACAATTTTTGGATCGAAAACAGCCGTTTCTCTTCGCTCCTCTTCGCTTGGGACGTTTCGCCAGGAGAGAGTCTCTCCTGGCCCATTCTTATTCTTAGACCGAGGTTAACCTGCAGTGCAGGCGTTTTCTTCGGGCGCGCGAATGTTTTGATGGCGAAAGCGCATGTTAAAACTCGAAAAGAGGGGAGAAAATGGGGTGAGTCAAAAAACAACAGTACGAACATAAACAAGCAGCTTTCGGCCGCCCAAAATACGCCTGCACTGCAGACTAGACCGAGGACAAAAAATCGATATTCTACTGTACTTTTTTTTGCGCAAGTGAAATGCCCTTTCAAAAACCTTGAAATAGGGGAAATAGCCACCTGATGCACATGTGCATTAGATTCAATTTCTTTGCTGATTTGCGGGAAATCGAAAGTGAGAAGAGCACCTTTTGGGTTAAACAAACAAACCCCATGGAGTCCAAGTAATTTTAAGTCAAAATCGTAGTTATCAACCCTAAGGCATAATAGAGCAGCTCACTTGTTTGATGCCATGAATAATTCACCGATTGACTTTTCTACGGAAAGGCAAAAGCGGATTCGAAGAGTCAGTAGGATACCCTGAATTTCAGCCGCTACCTCTGCGAGCGGATGAGACGGTGGAAAAATTCAGGCTGGAAAGTAGGGCTCTTGGAACACTTTCCGGGTATAAATTCCCATACTAAAAGTCGATAAGTTAGGGCAAACTGTAAATACTATCGCAATTTTCAATAGGCTCCACAAGTCTGTAATGATGGGTTCCTGGCGAAAGAGAGAACGGACGCGCGCGACTCGCGCGCCCGTTTTTTCTTGCGCCCACTACTTCCAAGCGGCTGCTACGCCGGCTGGGTAATCGTTGGGGTTCTATCCCAGAACGCCTCACGATACGGGCTTTTGACCGAGTGGAATCTGAGTACTACTACCCCGTCCGGTATTTCAGTGATGAATCAGTCGTTCGAGCTGTAAAGTGGTTTGTAGTGTGGGGTTTTTACTGTCTTTTATTTGGTGTCGGGTGTTTTTTATGTGTGTGAAATATGATGTCTCAGACAGAACTTTTAGCCTGGTCAGAGCCGGACACGAAATTTTTTGCCGACAATCTGCTGGGAGTTGAAGATTGGGGTTAGTATTTTTGCATGCGTCTTCAACGTACGCTTGGGTTTCAGCTGAAACCAGAAAATGAAATTTGTTTAGCTCATTTATCTCACCTATACTTTCTTATTTTTAATTTTAGGGGACTCTATCGCAGACGTAAAATTCAATCCGGAGGATTTACTTTTAGGAAGCGAAAGCCAAAGCTTGGAAATGGAGGTAAAATATCTAGCTTCAGACGATGTCGCTCTGTGTCATTTCAACTTGCGTGAGTCACTCGTGCGTGAACTTTATTAGCTTTCCTTTCCAATTAAAACGCGAACGTCATGGTTATTCGTCTAGAGTAGTTCATCTTCAGTGACTTAATGTGAGCAAACCCTTTATTCTACATCCTTAGTCATAAAATCTTTATAAAGGAAGCCTCTAAGTTGTGTTAAAAACAGTTCCGTGGTTGCTTGCAATTCGGCCGGCCTGAAATGTGAGACTTGAAGCAAAGCTTCCGCATGCAAAATATTTTTAGCATTATCGTTTCTAGAGGAAGTACTAACAAATGAATTCGATATCTTAAGAGTTCTTATAAATGAAAGGATATTATTCTTAGAGAATGTCACATGCAATAATTCTAAGGGTTGCGCTCTAAAAAAAGGTTTTAGTTCTGTGAATATAATCGCTGTGGCCAGCTGTTATTAGTATTCAGTGTAGTATTCCTTAGAAAACCAAACACTAGACCTTACGTTTTACAGCTATTAATTTTTTAGTATTCGTGTTTAAATCCCTCTTTTGGCTAGTCTTTTTTGACATTTGCAATGCGTTTTTCCTATGCACTGAGAGATCGATAATGTCAGACAAAGGGTATTGTGTAACAATGCTGCTGTAAAATCTTGCTTCCAGGGCGACCGTAACTTTCTTGAACTATGCTTTTAGACTGATAACGACAAATCCATATTTTTTTCAGACTAATTGTGTCCTTGTTAACCTGATTTTTCAGATACGTTGTGTTAGTGAAAAAGACCCATATTTATATTTTTAATGGAAATAGGTGTAAAATATTATTTTACCATTCGCTATAATGCGTCTTCTGTTGCAATTTTAATGAAACATGTTTCGTTGTTGATTTCTTCTGCTAAGGACAAAGACGATCAATTCAGTGAATTTTTATCAAGTCTTGCTTCTGATCCCCCTTCACCTATGCTTGAAGATTTCAATTTTACTTCAGGTGAGTTCCTCAAGAAATTTATTAAAATATTACATCAGTCTGTTCTTGTTTGGGATTATTTATTCAGCTTTCTCTATAAATGTAAATGTTTCTCATGTAAATGCCAACTATGCTGTCACTCAACAGGTGTCTGTGTTAAAGAAGAACCTCCTTCTCCTTCCTCCTCAAATTCATCTTGTGCTTCTCTACCAAGCTCACCAGAAAATCAGGTACACAGAATATCATTAAAGTAGAGAATGGGAGATACCATAGTAACTTGAAAAATATCGTTGAGAGAATTTCCAAAATTGTCCACACATAAAATGTAAGTTGTAGGTTAGAATGGTCCCAACTTGTAGTTTGATTCTCAATTTCCAAACTCTAATTATTCATGAAGTTAGAAAACAAAAGAAAATGAGAATTTTAAACCTACAAAAGTGCCATTTCCAAGTTGTCCCAAACCTCTGTTCTAAAGCGAACGTCATGCTACGTGTGAATCCATTAATATGAAAATGATTCTTTAATCTCGTGCAAATAAAAGTCTTTTTTCCAAGAAAGATTTTGCAGTTAGCCTTGTTTTAAAAGTGAGAGGTTTTGGAACTAGTAGATGGCTTATTAGGTTGAAACCATTTTAACCTTACCTTCATTTTGACCTGTAAAACATATGTCAATTTTTAAAAAGAACCTACAAGAAATGTCTTCAATAGTTGAGTCTAAATGAGGAAAAGTTAATGTACAGAATTTTTATGCTGAGCTACAGTGTATAGTCAGGTTCATCACACATGTATAAAAAGTTACACATGATGTCCATAGCAGAATCACATTCATCCATTTTATATGAATCAGTAATTTTGATATTAATTTTTCTGAAGAAAGAAATTGTTTTGTAGTCAATGGAAGAATACTATTTACATAATTTATTTCTACACCATATTTGGTTAATGTATTTATTTAAACACACACCATAATAAGTCATGAATACTGTGACACCCCATACCTTTGCGTTTGACACCTTTATTAAATTGCATTCAAGGGATCCAACATTTTTTCAAAGGAGTTAATGAAAGAATATTCAAACATCATTATGCCGGAGAATTCCTTCTAAGTGTGGAGGGAAGTGAAGTTTGGAAGATTTGAGTTTTTTTAAGCATAGATCGATTCTCAAATTTTTTGTTCTTCATTCAAGTTGCAGCCTGCAGTGAAACAACAGTACAAAGAATCAACAAATAGCAAATCTTTGTTGTTTCCATGTTGATTTACAAGTATACTTTGAGAATTATTAAGGGACTGGAAAAATCATCTGTCATATTGGGAGTACAGTAAATGTATTGGTGTCTGTTCCATACATGTTACTATAACTTGAACAAAGAATGCCATCTTATACCTCCAGGCTTCATTATATATGTACATGTACATGTATATGTAGAAATTAGCTGTTCTTGGGTTTCACTTTATTATTCATTGTATACTGGTATTTAAACTAAAATTCTGCATACATGTAAACCTAGATTGGTATTGTTATTATCATCATTATCTGGGTTATCATCCTCATCACCTTCATCATCATCATCATCATCAACACAATTATCACCAATTCTTAGTCACGTAATGGGGAATAAAATGTCCATTCAATTTATATCTGGTGTAAAAAAATTTCCTTAATCCATAATTAATCCAGTAATAATATTACAATATTATTCAAAGTGTTGTTTCGTTTCTTGCAGTTTCTTATAAATGGAGAAAGTTCACCTGTCCATCAATCTAGTGATTCAGATTTTGTGTTGCCGCAAACTAGCCTTCTACCAAATGCTCTATGCATCAAAACAGAAGCTACTCTTACGCCAGTGTGTAGTGTAAAACAAGAAAGAACACCTGTGGCATCATGCAATGTCAAACCCATTCAACCAATGCCAGTTACCTCTGTTCCTGTCAGTATCCAAAAAACTCCAGTTGCCAAACCTGCGGCAGGTATAGTGGTTGTCTAGATTAAAATTTTCTAGATCTTATCAGTTTTACCAATTTCTGTGAACTCTCTTCCTGTAGACCTGTTTCTCATGTCTGAAAGTAAATTCAGTTATTACAGCCAGTGGATACATTTTCTCAAAATGTTCATTTGCAAAATAAACTAGAACCAATGTGAGAAAGAAAAAAGGCTATGGTAACTTTCCTTGAAATCCTAGAACTCTCAAGACGAATGATTCATGTCTATGACTCAAAAAAAAGTTGGCTGTTTATCCAGTGTTGACTTGAATAAGTGATTATGATAAGTTGGTTCACCCTTAGTATTGACTTGAATAAGTGATTATGATAAGTGTCAGCCCAGAATAATTACCCTTTCAACAACAAGGCAGTGCTAACATGCACTCTCAGAGGCTTATGCAGCAATGCAGCTCATTGACTCTGATGAGCAAGAAGAAAAAGTGGTTAAGCCATTCTAAAAACTGAGTAAATTATTGTTTTCATTGTTGTTTTTGTAGTATTTTTTAAATTGTTTTTGCTGATTAGTTACCACGGTAGTTGTTAAGGGTGGGACATCACATTGTTGTTTTTTGTTCAGATCTTTCTTGGTAAGTGGGGTTGGGCATGGACCTTCAAGACTGACTTGCTGTATTTTGTAAATGTTGTGCCAATTTCACTAAATAACTAAAAGAAAGAAAGAGTTAAGGTTAATATTACAGTGTGTTAATCATAAGTGAAATTTATCACTTCCCCCAAAATATATTTTGTCCTCAAATAGACACTGCAAAATTTGAGCAACACCACAACACATTTAGAAACAGATATGGCCAGTGTTTTTTAAGGGTGGTTTAAAGTTATGGTACGTCTATGTAAGGCCATTTTAAATTTGTCTGCTCAATTTATATCTTGTGGAATAACTCATTCAAGTCTTTTCTTGTTACCAGGTATTCCAGTCTATATTCCTTGTACTGGCACAATACCAACCAAGACAGTGGTATCTGTTGTGGTTGGGGTAAGAGTCTTACAAAAATTTATTTTAATGCTTATTGAATTCATGTATTAAAATTTATTTAGAAATGTTGAGACTCTAGTTTTTATTATGCTGATACAGACAGTACAAAATTAATAGTCTTAAACGGATGGAAATTCATGTTAAAATGCACACAGCATTGCCAGATCCAGACCTTGAGATAAGGGGGAGGCCTAGTCATCCAGACCCTTAGATAAGGGTAGGGGGGGGGGTCCCTCCAAAAAATTGTTTTGGCCCTTCGGGCCGCAGTTTGGTCTAAAAGTAAGGGGGGAATGAGCCCCCTGGCTCCCTCCCCTAGATCCACCACTGCACAGGGTGCATTTTATCATCACAGACATAATTATGAGGAGTAATTTTTGGTTTTATTTTGTAAATTTTATTATAGAGCAAAGTTAATCCTGCCATTCCCAAGACAGTAAATGCAAGTGTAACTGCAACCAGTTCTTCCACAGAGGCTGATGTGAGTATTGTCGAATGTGGCTTTGATTTTAACAGCATAAATGTAGCTTTACCAACTCTGTGCTTGCAGTCAATGCTCCCTGCACCTGTATTTTCTTGGACAGCCATTGAACATGTATTTGAAACCTTTTAAAAGATACTCAGTGTTGTACGGCTCTTATGTATGTGCTTTGTGTAGTTCATTTTGGAGGATGTTACAAAATTTTCAGTCAAGATTTGTTTAGCACCAAAGGGCTGAGTATTTTCCCTAGCTACTATTAATCTTCCCCTCTGGCTACAAAAGGAAAATAGACCAAACCAAAGAACTTCCTAGCTGTTCAATTCCTGTCTACTGCATACGCCCTTGGAACATACAAGGCATGTAAATCTCAGTGAGATCCCTGTACATGTCCAAGACACTGATATGTGCATCGCCCAAATGAGTTTGCACCAATTTTCCATAATCATTTATTTATTGTTGCTGATCTTACAGGCAAAGCTTTTAAAGAGACAGCAAAGAATGATTAAAAACAGAGAATCCGCTTGCTTATCAAGAAAGAAAAAGAAAGAGGTATTTGAGAGATGCAATGTAATCGTTAGCTCCATTGTCTTTATACCCTGGGGGAAGGTGAGGCACTCCCTCTTATGACCTATAGGTCATAGGTTTGTGTAGGTTTGTGTAGCCCCATACCCTTTAAGGCCAGAAATTGGATAAGGTTTTGTGCCCTTCTGGAACCTGGGTCTGTTTAGTTGGAGGGTTGTGGGGGAGTGGGAAGGTTCTTAATCATGTAGAACTCCTAAGTTTGAGAACAGCAATTTAGTTCTACAATAAGGTACTGAGAAATTCGATTATTTTGGTCTGAAAACAGTGTCAAGGTTTCAAAACACGTGGCACCCATCCCCACCCAAAATTTTCAGGGCTCCTTGCTTCTCCTCTCTCAGTCTTCTTTAACAAGTGCAGTTAGAGGATGGTCCTGTACTTAGAAGAGCTGATGTCAGGTCTCATTAGTGCATAAAGCGGGATGTCAATGTATTTTTTTATTCTTCTAGTATTATTTATTTTATGTTTGATCATTATTTTTTATCATTTGTGGAAGAGGTTAAGGGTTCATTAAAATTGTTACTCAACAGTACCTACAAAGCCTTGAAAGTAAAGTGAAGGAGATTTCAAGCTTGAATGAATCATTGAGAGTGCAGAATGAAAGCTTAAAAAGGAGAGTCGGTGAACTAGAGGCAGAGGTTTGTGACCATTCAGTATTGTGGGTAGTAACTCCTCAATGAAGGTGCACACTGTATGTTCTTACTACTAGCTTGCGGGTAAGCTCTCCATATTGTGAAAAGTAGATGCGCAAGAGGCTCACCCAAATAGGAGAGCTTGCTTGCAGGCTATCTTACTACAGGGTCTGCGCATGCCTTGAAAGTTCTTGAATGTCCGTGAATAATTTCAAATAGATATTAAAGACATAATAATCATAATAACTTTATTAAAGTCTCAAGCTTCTAGCTTAGCACCACTGCTGAGACTGATCGACATTTAAGTACATGTATATGTACTTGAAAATTGTAGTGGAAAGTCCTTGTAATTTGTTGCCTAGTTCATACAACTCAGATTCAACAATAAAATGTTCCCGGCAGAATAGTAAGCATAACGAAGTAGTGAAAAGCAGATAAAAACGATTATTATTGCCTTGATTTTGTACAGCATGGAGTTCTTGAAAAAAGAGAATTGTGTCCTTGAAAATCCTTGAAAAGTCCTGGAATTTTTTATTTAAAGCACGTGTACAAACCCTGCTCCTTAGTGAACTTGATTCTTAATCTTTATCCAGCTGCTTCTCTGCCGCTGAATAAGTGAAGGCAGACAAACTGTCTTTGTTTAAATTTTTTTATTGTAAATTGATAGAAGATGGCTAATTTATTATTCCAGCCAATGATTATGTATTTGTTTATTAACAGAACAATCTATTGCGGAGTCGTCACCCTGAACTGACGAGTACCATAAAGAAATCTACCTGCGTTTTAGCAGTTATTTTGTTTGTAGCTTTGAACGTTGGTCCTTTTAGGTGAGTAATTCTAGAAATAAAATAAAATAAAATATGAGACAGTTTTACACTGTTTAAGAAAGCCTACAGACATTTTGTGTAGTCAAGTGGAGGAAAATACAGCCACTGCTTTTTTGCTTTTTGGCTTCCTCTGTTAACTATATTCCATTTGCCACCATAAAATTTGGAAAATTTGGTTCACAAGTTTTTGTTGAATGGTTTGTAACAATAACAATCACACAGCAGATAAAACCAAGGCATAAGTTTACTTTTGTTTCAATAGCTGGACTATCAAGCCCTATTTTAAAAATATTACTTCATTTAATTAAATGTGTTATTTTCAACCACAGCAATTTGAAAGAACAGTGGAAATTGAACAGAGGCGATCTTATTCCCAGTTCTATGATTCATCATGGAAGAGCACTTTTAAATTACCAAGGAGACGACGAGAGAACTGACCTTGATAAGCCGTTAGTGTTTGGACCTGTCAGGCAGACAGTTGCCAAAGCAGCAGATCCAAGCATGCTTAACACATCTCAGAAGAAGTCGTCATTATTTAAGAGCATAAACACTGAAAGAAGGGATTTAATGGTGATTAAGAACAAATGGGATTTCTTAAATGATCCGAGGCAGAGGCGAAAGATCAGTAAAAATAAGAGGAGGAATTCCAAGTCAAGACAAAAGATTGAAAGTAAACAGAGAAATGGGACGCTAGACGATCAGTTTTACTGTCCAACTTCATTTAACAAGACAGAAGTTACCAGGTATAGTTGTTGCCCCTGTCCAAAGTTAATTATTTTCTTTTTTCTATCTCTTTTATTTCCAGAAAGTTCCTCCCATTACTGCTTTTCCGCTTGTAATTATCGCTTGTATAAACTGAATTAGTAAAATCCAACTGGTGGTCTATTATCAATGCTGCGTTCTCATTGGGTGAGCTACTACTAGGCTATATATTATAGCCCACAAGTACCGCAAAGCGCCGGCTTTTTGGCAGCCAAAAAGGCTTTAAGTCTAGCTTTAAGTAGCTAAAGTTGTTTAGTCTCGGTATTTTTGACCAACTAGTTGGATTTTACTAAAACAATTATTCACTTGTTGGAAGTCTTCAAACCAATCAAACATCTATGTCGTTTTTCCTTTTTGTTTTGTGGGATTTCACTTTTACACTAGGTAGAAACAAGGGTGAAATGTTTAAAATACTTTATAAGCAACGTCGGATATATATTTACGTGTCACCTTGTTTTCGTTGAAACCGCGTCGCGACGGAGAAAAGATATTTCCTTAGATGAGGCAGCGAATACTTGTGTTATCCTCCACGGTTCGTCGAATGTATCTTAGGCACTAGACTACAACCAGCCTCTCTTTTTTCTCAGTCGGTCGAGCGAAACGCGCAAGACGTGACATCGACCAGGCGTATGATGGAAGGCGCGAGATGGAAGAGAGACTGTTAGCAATCTACTTAGGCACTAAATTTTCATCCCTTTCTTTCTTTAACCAGCTTCAATTTCATTCCGTCTGCGATCGAGACGTAGTTCGTTTGTTTAAAAAATATTGAAAATTTGAAACATCATTTCTTAGCTCACATCGGACTGGAAAACAAAATCGGTATAATCCACATAAAATTGTCCTTGTAATAAATAGCCAACCATGCAACGTTTATATGTATCCCGCAGAATAAACGAAGCCCTGGTTGGATGGGTGAAAAGATACGAAGATCAACGTGTTTTAAAACAGCAAAAACACCGACGCAGGCAGACCAAGGTGGGACTGACTCTTCATCACAATCTTTTCTGTTATTTGCTTTTTTCATCTTTAGGCTATGTTCATACTGTACTGGATTGATCGGGTAACTTATAGTGTGAACAGAACCGGCACAGAAGTGGAACTGGTCGTTCACACCCCTCAAACATTAGGGTCCCCAATAGGGTTCTTCAATCCCGTAATCCCGACCCAAAATTTCGTTCAAGCTCGTACTCCCGAGGGTTGTTTTTGGCAGCCCACCTCCCGCGCAAACTTCCAATCCCGAATCTCGCCCCGACTCTGCTTTAGAATCCCGAATCCCCAGCCCGAAATAAGGGAAATCCAGGATCCCGAAAAACCTATTGACGACCCTCAGGCATCGTGCCGGAGCTGTTGGCCGAGAGGGTTTGGTTCTCTAATTCCCAATCTTCACTCCTGAAAATTTACTTCCGTCCAAGTGGGTTCCAGTCCTCCTTTCTACTTTTCACTTCCGCCACGGTCCGACTGTTCACCCTGCACCATTAAGTGTGGCACAGAACCTATCCGATATGTGACGCTCCTCTTTCCAAATCGGCGCGGCGCAGCTTCGCGCTTGTTGCAGATTTCGCGCCGAAATCACTGTTCTTATAAATTATGTATAAATAGACGCTCTATCTGGTATGATTAATTTCTTACCGGAGTAAAACTGAGGAAAAAATGAGGAAACAGAACTATGCTAACACAGTGTGTTTTAATTCACTTTAGGTGGAGTCCGCCATCAAAGAGCTGGCCTTGAGATTTGCTTCCAACTGTACTTCAGATGTAAAGCGAAAAATAAACAGGTAATTAGACTTGTGGAATGAGATCTTTTTCGCAATCACTATCAGAAACTAGAGAGCGTATGTCTAAGTAACTTCTGTTTGCTTTCTTGGTTTGTCAGACACAAGTTTTCGCGCAGGCACAACCTGGCCTCTACGAATGCTGTTCAGTTGTTCAGAAGCTCAGATAAGTACGTTTTCTTTGGGAAAAAATCTAATGAACTTAAAGCTGTTGTGCTTGAATCCTGTATGTTTCTGATCGTTTTGTTTATTTATTGGTAGATATGTATTGGGTGCCGTTAGTGACTCGCTCATCAGGTGTTCATGAATGTTACGTTAGATTCTCGCGCTTTCGGTTATATTGGTTCATTATACGTTTCTGGGAAACTGCCCACCTACCCCTCCCCAAAGCCAACATTAACACCTACTTCTCACTTAGGGCCAAGGTTGGCTTAGTGGAGGGGTTGGTGGGCAGTTTCCCGGAAACGTTTTTCCACTCTCACCGTTGCCCAAAATACTTTGTTCTTGACTTTTTTCCCTCCTTCAATGATAAGCACATTCGCGCTTTTTCAGGTTTAAGACTTTTGAGGAAGAAATAAACAAGAAACCGGACACTTTATACGTGGTGTCTTTTCGGGCAGTAAGTATAAGCACTTTTATTTTCAAGAAATCTTTTGACTTGGCTATCGTTTTCTGTGGGAAAGCGTTTTGTAAACCTTTTTGATATGCTTTGTTTCCAGGACCACCTGGTATTTCCTGCTACAGAGTACAATGCAACTCAACGGCCTAAGATGTCGTTCATGATAATGGCACCACCGAACAGTAAGTCGTCGTTGTTGCTGTTTGTTTATTTGTGGCCTGCTCCAAAAATCTCGCTGATACAGTGTGTAAGGGAGGGTTAAAAGGTTTTTCTTATCTTTTTTTAGGAACAGAATGGCAGCAAGGACACAGCGTAAACACAGACGAGATCAGTATGATGCAGATAGACTGCCAAGTCATGGACACAAAGATTGTAAACATCAAAAGATCAAGCATACCCGTGCAGCACTCGGACAGTTCACACTTTGGCACGCCGTCAGTTACCGTGCCCAATGGGAACGCTTACGTGAAGCCCGCGAAATAAAACGTCCTTACTCTTTTTCTATGATTGAACGTTTAAAGCAATTATAAGAGTTCGTTTTATTTCACCGTTGGATCCCGTCTCTTGAAAGTCTTGTTAACTTTGCTAGCTCAAAGCCATATTTTAAAATCAAACGTAAGGAATGATAGTGCGGATTCTTGCCCAAAGACCACTCCAATTTATTTCGTCAACTAGGAGCTTGAAATATTGATTTTTTTTTTTCAAAATATTTAATTTTGGATGTGTATTATTACATTTACAAACCGAAAGAACTCTCTGCCTTCACGAGTGTTTCAAGTGTGAAAAACGGAAGCTGAACTTTGAGTTGCGAATTGTGTGCAAGAATTTCTTGAGTGTGACCTTTCTAATGACACTGGCACGTGTGTCATGTGCACTGGCACGTGTGCCATGTGCACTCACGCGTGCACATGGCGGCTGTGAAGTAAACAATCGTGTCAGAAACCCATGAGAGTGTTGCCGTTCGAATGTAAGATGTTGTAGAGCGTCATCCTCGTCACGTCTTGGTAAAACAGAAACTGTTGCCTTGTAGAAGTATGTGCTTTACCTTTCTCGCCTCATAGAAGGGGTTCCGGAAGCTGGGAAATTTTTGCTGGTGATATTTGGAATCCTGCAGAATGCAGAATACAGTTCAAAGAATCCGTAATCCCATTAACGATTGCAATCCGGAATCTAAATTCCACTAACAAAAAATCCGGGTTCCAGTACCCGGGTCCGAAATCCAGAGCGAGGATTCCTGAATACAAGACTGTATTGGATTGGCTCGCGTTCACGGCGACAGAGTGTTCATTAAAATATTTTGTAATTTTTACTCGGGAAGGTGGAGGTTTTAGAAAGAAAAACTCTTCTTCAGTACAGTTTGTGAAATAACTGTCCATTACAATGTTATTAAACGCATAAGCGTTTTAAAAAAATTATAAATAGTTATGAAGCATCTTCAATTTGCTTAAAGTGCAAGAATGTATCATGCCAAAAAAAACATTTATTGTTCAAACGCCAAACGCCTTTTCGCATCCACAACTTCACTATATAAGATAGAATTGCCAGCACCTTTGTATATGTTGTTCATTGTGTATTTCGCCGAGATCTTTGTTTTTACGAGCCCGGCACCATTTGTTGTGGAATACCGAGTGTAAAGTGAGACATTCTTGTAACTACTGTGTATGATGTTTAATACAAGAAAAAACTAAACAACATTTGTCAAAAAAAAAAATAAACGAAGTAGATAGCGCCGTTTTGTGCGTCATTACTTTATATTATCTGGGACCGGAGAAAGAGAAGGGCTGGGTGGACTTTACCCCCCTCCCCTACCCGATGGGGAAGTGGGGTGGGGCGAAGTGACGGATGACATTTCACATTATATTGATATACCAGCTGACCCCAAGTAAAATATTGTCTATTATTACCCTCCCCTCTTCACTTTTTGCGCTGGTTAGAAAAATAAAACTGTTTACCTGCCTTATTTCAGATCAACGCATTCATTACTTACAAAAATAACTTTTAGAGTTTCAAGTATTTCACTCGCATGCTGACCTTTCTGTAGGGTTTGCCACACTTCCCTGGTTCTTTTCATTCCTTTTAATTACCGTACAGCTTGTGTCACTTGATAAAGTCTGTTAATGAAATAATGGTTAGATTTTCGACTGTAAAATAATGGCATCATTGACAACTCTGTTTCTTTCTAGAATTTATTTGCCCTTTAAATCGACGTTTTTTACACTCATTGTTTTTTTTTTTAGCCTCTGGGACGAATATTTTGTTGTAGTGCTTCTCCTCTTGGTTTACAAAAGTTTCTGACATCGTTCACAATATCCTCTATAGCGAGAAATACTTTATTTCTAACAATAGTATTGTTTCCGGCCGAAGAGGCCTCTTTTATTTTCTGATAGGACGGCGTGTGACAAGAAAACCGTCAAGACGAAAACGTAACACGCATAAATCAGGGGCACCCAACGACAATTTTCGGAAAATTATTTGTTCGGAAGACGATTGAGGTCTAGAATTTACGGATCATTTTCTGACAAATTTCTTGCTTGCCTGCCTCTCCTTGGATTTTCGAACTTCAAAAAAATCGTATAATTGCCCATTTTTAACAGATTTTTACCCTAAAAAGGTCACCTACAGGACACCTAGAATTTTTTCGGGAGCCTTTTTTCTGGCTGAAATTTTCGAAAACGTAAATTTTGATCCCTATAATTTTCGGATCATTAGACTTTCAGCTAAGAAATCCGAACAGATGAAAAATTTGTAGAGGATAAAAATAAGCCTTTATCTACCGTTTAAATACTAAAGTACGTTCAACAATGCTATGTTTATGTGGTTTTGAACTATACTCTCGTCGGGTGCCCCTGATAAATAGGTCTTCATGGGTGAGAATAGTGATTCCATTTTATCCGTGATGCCCAAGCATTAAACCAAACCACAGCAACTTAATTCGTGAAATCACCTATTGTAGGTACGTGCTGAATCTTGTTTTCAGTATATGTTGGAACTTGTTAACAGTTGAGCCGGAAACAGTAAGGAATAACGTTTTAACGTAATTACGGTGAAAGGTGGGGGGTAAACTCGATTTGCAGGCGCTGTTCGGAAAATTATCTGAGGGAGAGGGCGGAATTCGAGCAAAGTGCAGAGCAGTATTTTTCTGTCTCAAGAGCAAGAAACCCTGTGCATGTCAGTTTCACGCTTTTGCTTTCGTTTTTTTAAATGTTTCAATTAGAGCAATTTCAGTTTAAAAATTTTAAAATTCTCATCTCGATTTTCTTAAAGGGCCCAGATTTCCTGAACCACAAGATGTTTATCCGGATGACAAATATGCCTTTTCAAGTTTTGAGGAAATCCCGTGGTAGCTGAACTGAAGTGAAATTTCTTATTCTTTTTCATTGCGCACTTACCCTGCGAGCAGTAGCTCGCCGGGGATTGCGCACTATACCAGTTCTCAGACTTGACATGATTTTCGCCTGACCGCGGAAGTTACACACAACTGAGCGTCGTTGCTGCCTTTTAATTTCTCTCTTTGTTCGTGTTTAGCTCCGTGAGGACGCGTGATTTTCACTCTAGTATTGATAGGATTTAAACACGATGCTTTTGACGTCATACAAATATGGGCCAATGCGCAGCCTCTATTCTGACCTTCTCAACTTCAATTGAAATGACTAGGGATATCTCCTTTGGATATTACACAACACAGAAAACGTGACGGTAAGTGTGCTGGCTGGATGACGTCCTGCAAAGATGATATTCCAGCAAAAGCTTACGCGGAATCAGTGCACAGTGACAAAGCGTTCACATTTATACCTATTTCTCCGCTTTTGGAAAAACTTAAGTTCACATCCACAGTTTATGAATAGTCAGTTGCGCAACATTATTTAAAGTACTCGGTGTTGAATTTCTCGGGCTCAATCACCATCTTTTACAGGATGTAACTCGTTACCTGTGCCTTGATATAGTCAAGTGATATCATGTTTTCGTCTTTCCTATTTTTAATGAACTTTTGGACTCTACGGTCCACAGGACACCTGGACGATCTCTTGTTTCAAGGCGTATTTTGTACATCATTTAACAGCTTCCGTCAATGCGCGGTATGATATGTGTCCTGTGCGCAACATGTCTTTGGTAGTGAATACCGGGGGGAGAGCGTTTCTGTAGAGGTTAGAAGCCGCATATTTTTAGCCACTTTTTTGTTTTTTGTTCCTAGAAAGAAGTCCGGGCAGGTGGTACTAAAGGGAAGTTTGGGTAGAGGTGTCCCGACTGGAGGCCTTCAAACCCTGACCCCGTTTCAAAAGAAAAAAATCGTTAATTTTGTTCTCCTGTTTTAAGAGACCCTATTTACTGACCCTGATTTAACCAATTTCTTAAACTACGATCGTGATGTTAGAACAAAATTGTTGGCACCACACTGATTCTAGATGGCTCCTCGCCAACCTTTACATTGTTTGAAGGAACGGGTCCAAAAAGGAGACCCTGTTCAAGACGCTTAATAGTGAAGTTGTGTACCCTGTTTAAGACTTGAGACGCTGAAAACCATAGCCTGTACAGTTTAGCCTGCAATCAAGCCCTACCTAAAAAAAGCTGAGCGCAGATTTTGTACAGCGAGACTCACCGGCCACATGCCCGTTTAGGCCAAATAAGACCAGTTTCACCCCCCCTTCCGCCCCCCCCCCCCCCCGCGCATAAATTTTGAAAATTTTGGATTCCCATTTAATTTTCCTTTCAAAACATGTTTTTTCTTCATGTTCTAGGAGACCAAGAGTATCATTAATAGGGCCGTTAAGATCCAACGAGGCGAGGGCAACGAGAACGTCGCATAAAAAAGGAATCTGCCTTCTTTCAGTCTTTATAGCGATTATTCCTACCCACTCACTTCGTCAAATGTAGGCAAACCCTCCTGAATCGAAGCTGAATTTCAAGTGATCATATCCAAGCTCAGAAAGCGAAATTAGGCATTTTTACGTCGTAGCGTGCAAAAACGGGAAAGAAAAGTACAAAAAAGGGTGATGCACGTGCGAGGTTGTTGTTTTCCTTATATGTTGTTTTTTCGACGTTCTCGTTGCCGTCCCCGTCGCTGGAACTTAACGTTCCTAATTGCTTCTTTCGAGACCCTGTTGTGTTGTTATAGAGAGTCAAATAAAGAAAGACAGGGTCCATCTAGGTGTCCGACAAGAGAGAGTCGAATGTGGTTGCCTAGAGTCTGAGAACCTGAAAGCGTACACCAACTACCCCCATGACAAGAAAGAATACGGGGTTATGCGACCGGCCTTGGGACATTCCTCCTAAAACGGTGAACTTAAAACGGTGAAAGCCGTTTCTCTCTTTCTCTCTCTATATCCCTTGTTTTTTTCTCGTTCGAAATTTAAATGAAATTCAAATGAGTGATTTCTGTGTTCCTTGTTTTCGTGTTTCTCTGTTACCTAACAGCCGGAACTTTAAAGGGGAACGTGATACGAGCACGTTTGTCAGAAAAATAAGTGCAAAAAAGATCATATGCTCAGCATGAAGTCAGTGAAATTAATCGCTCTAAATCGGAAATGCGAGCGCATAACTCTCAGGCGATAAACTGGCAACCTGACAAGAATGCAATCACGTTAGGACAGATCAGCAGATCAGGCGATTTTCAGGGTTATAAATTGAAGTGCACAACATTTGTTTTTGTCAGCTCTTTCCTGACAGCAGCCTTGCAACATGAAAGTGCTTCTGGCTCTACTGCCTGTCGTCCTCGCCTTGGTGGAAGGATTCCCACAGTTCCCAGCTGGTAACTTCCTTTCATGATAGTTGTTCCTTTATTTTGTTTCGTTAGTGTAATCCATATTTCCGTAGATTTCCATGAAAAGGTCTTGCGGTGTAATTTTACCTGGCTTTCTAAGTTGGTGTTGAGTCCGTTTTTTGGAACAAATTTAACAGGGGCACCCGGCACGGACTGTTTTCTGTAATGTTCGGAGGAGCAAATTATTGCCTAGAATTTTCTTTTGCTTAAGGACGGCTAAAAATTTTTAATAGTGAACGTTCCTTTCATGTACAATTTTCGAAGCTTAAATTCCCTACGATTCTCAGAAGTTTAATTTTTCATATTTCACTACCCAGGTTACACTATTTTTCATAGAAAAAGGAAACCTAAAGTTTTGGTTTCTAAAATGTGATGGAGAGAGGAATCAGACAAATTCTTACTTTCGTAAAACGTCAAATTACACCAAGAGCCATGTTGATTGCACCTAAAATTTTCGGGAAAATAATACTGAAGCCCTTGTAATTAAAAAATTTCGAAGAGACTCAAGTTCGCCTAGGATGACCGAACAGATAAAACGTTTGTATCGCCGCTTAGAATGCATTTCTAGAGATGTAAAAGTACTTTGCATAGCCTAGAAAGTGTTTTCAACGTATTTTGGAGGAAACCGTCTTTGGGTGCCCCTGATTTAAGATTTCATAGCTTATTTATCCATGACCTCACGTTAATTACTCCAGGGAGAGTGGAGCAAATTGGTAATACATAAATAACAGACATCTCCTCCTTCTTCTTACTTTACTTGGTAAATTTTTAATACCATTAGCTGCAGACTTTTCTTGTGCGTGGGTCGCACATTTACCGGCTAACGTTGATGTTACTTTGTAACTTCTCCATTAATTCTTCTCATTCAGGGAAAGATCGAACTGTTAAGGCGGGAATCGACTACCCGGGGAAGGGAATCGACTACCCGAGGAAGCGGTACTTTGAAGACTGGAAAACAAAGCCCAGTCGTGATGAGGGACCAAAACAATGGCAAGGTTTGAAGATGCCCGGTATGAAGAGACCCCATTCCCCTGACATGGTGCCCCAAGCCCGCTGGTGCGTCACAAACCCGTGTGAAATGAAAAAGTGCAAGAGAATGACGACCGAATTCAACTACATGCTGCAATCTGGGCTGAAATGGGGTTGCGTGATGAAGGGCTGCAAGGAAGAATGCATGGAAGAGATTAAACGAGGCCGTGCAGACATCATGACGGCCGAGGGAGAAGAGATTTACAAGGCTGGGAAGGTGTACGATCTTATTCCGATCATGTCAGAAAAAGAGGACCACAGCTCCATTCAAGATTACGATTCCAAATTTTCCGGTTTTGAAGACGCGTATGGTCGCCTTAAGCACTACTCCATAGCCTTAGTCAAGAAGACTGACACCCACATCAATGGCTTTAAAGACCTGAAGGATCGAAAATCCTGCCATTCAGGCGTAGACATAACGGCCAGCTTCAAATCTCCGATGTGTTCTCTCATCAACAAAGACGTGATCCCGAGAGTTGGGAACGTGTACGAAAGCGTGGCAGAGTTTTTCAAAGAAAGCTGTGTCCCAGGGGTTCAACATGAACACTTTAATCCAAACATGACGAATCCAGGATCTTTGTGCAAACTATGTCAAGGTAGGTCAAAATGAAATTTTTCAATCCCCTCTTAGTTTTTTTTTTTTTTTCAGTAAAAAAATTGACATCAGCGTATTATTATTATTATTATTATTATTATTATTATTATAAATACCATCATCATCATATGAAATCCTATTTTGCTTATTCACGATCAAGAAAAAAGATATTAACAAATTCTTGACCTTTATAATAGAAGGCAAAAAAATAATTACATTACTTACTTGTTTTTCTCATGTCGGAAAGTGACATGTTACTATTTTGGATGTAATATAGTAATGTAATACACAGTTATTCTACTTCATTAGTCTTTTGCTGAATACATATCGCTGTTACGTAAATTGCTAAAACCCATCCTCTTAGTTAATTCAGGCGATAATGTTTTTTGAGAAGCCAGAAACGTTTCGTATTACATGACACGGTCTTCAAGTCGTTTTGGACTACAGATGGGTGAGAAAAAAGAGAAAAATGTTTTATGTATTTCGTTTACTCTGTTGCTGGAAAATGTAGAGTCTTGAAAATGTGGTCAGTCGTGTTTGTCTGTAGGGGCTGAGTTTTGTCATTTTTTCACTCCGCTCGCTTAGCTTGAATTGTTTACGGGTAAGCACCCCTCCCCGCTATTTTAAACGGCTTAACAGACCAGTGAGTGTTTCATAAACCGAGTGGTATAATGCAGAATCTTAATCTCTCCCTCCACCTCCTCTTTCTTTTTCCAGACTTAAAAACAGAAAAACACACACAGACACGTACAAAACGATAAAATTCGGGCTTTATAGTATTCACGGTCAAATTTTACCCAGGTGATAAGGACTTGAATTATCATCGTGAACATAACACACCGCGCACACAAAAACAAAACGAGAAAAAGCAAAAAAAAACCAACAAAATTGGGTTTTAAAGCATCCATGGTCAAAGGTTACTTCACTTTTACACCGAATTTTTGACGCAAACAGGGCCACCCAACGTCAATTTTCGGAAAATATCTGCTCGGAAGACGATTTGAGATCTAGATTTTTCGAAACATTTTCTTTCTTGCCGGCCTCTCCTTGGATTTTCGAACATCTAAAAAAGGGTATAATTACACACTTTTAACAGATTTTTACCCTAGAAAGGTCACCTATATTTTTCGGGAGCCTTTTTTCTGGCTCGTGAAATTTTCGAAAAGGTAAGTTTTGATTCCTATAATTTTCCGATCACTACACTTTCAGCTAGGAAATCCGAACAGATGAAAAATTTTTAGGGGATAAAAAAATGCCTACATCCAGCGTTAAAATACTGAACTACGTTTAACAATGCTATGTTTAAGTGGTTTTGAACTATATTTCCGTTGGGTACCCCTGACGCAAAATTTTATTTTGGCAAACTTCGTACCACGGAAGTGAAAGTTCATTTTTGTGTAGGTCACGTTGTGATTAACCAGTTTAGACGCGTTCGAGTTATTGGTGCGGATACTCTCAACTTCAGTATCTTAGCAAAGTAGTAACCTTTAAACTGTAAGATAAGATTACCAGGGGACACGTGTAAAGAAATATTAAGGGCATATACAACAAAGATAGCTAGTAAATGATCGGGAAACAGAACGGACTCGCGTGTGACTACCTGCTCCAAGGTTATCGTTCGTACCTGAAGAAAATCGAAACAGAGTCATGAATGAAACAAGTTATATTTTTCCGGAGTTACAGAGTGGACATCTTTTAAGAAAACAATTTGGTTCCGGTTTGCAGGATAAAAGTAATCTTCTATAATCTGCGTATTACGTGTAGAAGATTTTGATTTTTTGTTCTCTTGCTAATAAATTCTTCCGGACTCCAAGTCTTTAATCCAGCTTGAAGAAGAGTTATTAACTTATTAACTCTCAAAAACCACCAAATGCTGCGGAAAAGGTAGATTAAGCAAAGAAAGTAGAAAACAAAATAAAACTTAAAACTAGTGATCAATTAAAAGAAGAAAGAAAAATATTGCTTTAAGCGCCCTTCCCAATTTCTGAATCATCTGGAAATTAAAAGGATAGGAATTGCTGGCGGATTGCAGCTTGGCCCGTAGGGATTGATTCGACTATATCCATTAATTCATTATGTATTTACCTATGAACAAAGTGACTATCTTCCTTGCTTAAGTTCAAATATATTTCATTTTCTTTAATGGACATTAATTTATTTTTTATGGGGGTCAACTTGCTACGTACTTTATGACGAATGGTTTTTCCCTCATGTGTGTTGTCACAGAAATCCGACGAAATCAATAGCCATGCGAAAGCTCTGCCAAATCAGCTTTCATTTGCTTGGCAAAACCATATAGGATTTTGTTCACAGATTTAAAGGCTACAATTAGATTGACAGGTTATGTTAAGTGTCAAAATATCTAGCACGAATTGGAGAGTAGTTATTGAGAATACCAAAAAGGGTTTATATCCCCTTGTTGGAGTGTTTCGGTGTAGCCCTTTTGCCGAGATAATTTTTGCGTGCTCGTTTGAGATCTCAGAAAAAAACCCGTATTTTAAGCGTCTCTCCCCAGTCTCGCTCTCTCTTTTCAGCTTCGTTCAAGACCTTTTGTTTGACTGCTCGCGCATACTTCAATACGCAAAAATACGGGCTGTTTTGCAGTGTACAAACTGGTGCGCAAGGGGTTGCAAGGGGCTGACCTTCTTAGTCTCAGAACGGCCTCTTCCCAGGCCTTCTTGGTCAATGTATCTCTCTCAATTTGTTTTTTGGTTCCAGTATTAGGCTAAGAGAAAAAGCCACTGTCCAAATATATTACCCTAACCACCCCCCCCCCCCGCGTCAAAAGTGAAATGTTCGGTCCTAATAAGGGTCATGGAATAAGATGGGGGACTGGCAAAGCAATGTTTTCCATGCTCTTAAGGCCGCGGGGGACACTTATGTATGAATAAATTCATAAGACAAAATTTTGCTTTGCCACATCTGTTAAAACGCTTATATCTCGGCTGTTTTAGGGGAGATTTAGTTAAAATTTTGCGGGCATTTTGAAATGATAGGAATTTAGGAGGGTTATTTTTTATTTGGTAGATCGCGCTTTGCAGCGATGCTTTAAGCCACAGTTGTACCACAAATGGGAAATAGTGATTTTGTGTTCAAGTTTGCGGAAAGAATAGAAGCTAAAAGACAGCACTCTATGATTTTATTAATAAATGATCAGTTAAGACGTCTAGTGTCATGAATTAAGCAGATTTTGCAATTTAAAGTTTACCAGCAAGGTATAATAGTTTAAATGAACAAAATTGTCATCCCTTAAATAAATGCCTTATATCTTTTTATAAAAGTGCTATTTTTAGGATTCAGTTCAATACATAACACACTACAGTCTACCAAGCTTACCCCTCTTCAGTGCCAGCTGGTGACGTGAATTCTTGGACACAAAATTGTCGAAAAAGTCAAATTTTGAGACCCCCGAAGGTGTCCCGACTAAAGCACGAGTTTCAAGCAATGTTTTGAAGGATTTTTGAGTCGAAAAAATAACGTACAAAGAGTTGTGATATTAAATTTGAAATTTCTAAAGATTTCCTCATTGTTATTTCCATATTATTATTATTACTCTACACGTACGCGTGAACAATTTAAAATATGCGCTCATCTCGCAAACCTATCGATATCAGTCGTTGTTCTTCGTGCGTAGCTTAAATAAATGCGGCCTTAACTCACGCTGATTCCTTGTGTAACCCAAAGGGTCACACGATGATGAGGATTTCTGCGAGACCCTGTCGGTCAAGGAAGAATACTACGGCTTTAATGGCGCAAAGGATTGCCTTAGCAAGGGTCAAGGAGATGTTGGGTTCTTCCACACCTATGATGTCATGATGAACTTCGAAGCTCTCTCAAAAGAATTCAAGATCCTGTGCGAAAGGAAGAAACTGGAGCTGACTCCGAGCAATGTTTTTACAAAGTCCTCTTGTCATTTGGCAGTGGAACACCCTCAGGTATGCTTCAACACTTTGCATTGGTTTTGCAATGAGAACAATAAACACTTAATGACTGTTCGCGAGGGAAAAAGTTAATTTTGTTTCACGAGAATCTCAATGTTATGCGAAGCGAAGTTATAGTCGCTTAAAAGCGACGTTCTCGTTACCGTCGCGTCGTTGAATCTTTAAGTCCCCAATTTTTCCCATCAGCGCGCATTCCCATTGGTAACCTCAAGGTCACATGACATCTAACAATCAAACTGTTTCCCGTCAAAATCTCTTAGCGGGCAAAATTGCAAAATCCATGACGTCAGAGGGTAACAGTGCGCTGTTGCCTGCGAATGTTGACTGACGACCGCCGTTATGCCGAATCTCAATGTTTCCCACGGCGTAAACATTGAGATTCTTGGGAAACAAGATTATTATAACTGTTTCCCTCGCGACCAGTCATAAATGAAGTGTTTGGTGCTTACTTCACCGGTGTCCCAAACTCATTATGTGAAGGCAAAATAAAAATTAATGCAGCTGCTAATATTGCGAAACGTAGTGATTTATAGGGTTATATAGGAAGAGTAAGAAATGGAAAAATGTCGTCTTGTGAATCGCTTCAGTGTACGTTATGCATTATCAGTAACATGCATTAATGTAATGCCCTTACATAGTGAGTTTGAGACAACTGTTCTCCCTTCTTCTTCTTCTTATTGACTGCCATTACAGACATTTCAACGATCTAGAAAGAAAGAAAACTTAATTCATGGCGCTATTCTCTCTATGATATGTTGCTTCAACGTGAAGGTTGCTTCAGTTTTAAAAATGAATACGAAAGGTTGCTGAAAAGTTGCTGAGCGCTTGAATATGGCTACGCTTCCTGCGCCTCTATTGACAACACTATACTATAAGCCCTGTTTTTCAGAAACGGTGTGGGAACTGGAAAGAAAGGAAAAAAGAAAAAGCCAGGGGAAGAAAGGAGGAGAAGAGAGAAAAAAAAAACAATGGTTGCACTCTTAGTTTTTATAACGGCCGCTTTGGAGATAGTTTTTGGCGGAAAAAAAAAGCGGTTGGACACAAAGGGCCCATTTGTTGGTGACGTTTTCAAAAATCCGGCTACATATTATGTTTATACATTTTTTTTTGCCAGGTGTTGATGGTCTCTTCTCACAAGCCCGAAGACTGGATCACAAACTGCACCAATGCCCTCAAAAAAGCCTCCACTCTTTTCTCCTCATCAGGCTCAGTGAACGCGTTCAGCTTGTTTGAATCCGCTCCATATTGCGCCAAGAGGATGGGTGATGATGGCAGCGAGGATGACAAGTTGCAGGACATGGACCGGATAAAGAACAATGATCTTATTTTCAAGGATCACAGTGGCTGCCTGGAGACCATACCTAAAGTAAGTTAATTAGTAATTTAACTTCTGTTTAACGTTTAGATGTACATTTCCTATGCTGATAAGAAAGGAGAGTATAGTGCACGTTATGGTTTTTATCTTTTCTCCGCTACCCTTTGTAAGAGCTTAGAATGCGATGGAAGACGTTTAGGATTCGATCCAGTCAACAACAAATCAGAACCTTTTAGTAAGAAAGCGTATAAAGAAAAGGTGCACTAGGAGCCACTGGCTTGGTTTTTGTCGCGTTAAGCTTCTAAAAGAATAAGAATAAGGGCTTCCCCCTAGGTGGACATGTTATTCTATCGCAGGTTTAGCCCCGATAGAATGTCCCCGGTATCCATTTATACACCTGGACCCAGTTGTTCGAACACCGGCTAGCGCTGACCCGGGGTTAAATTTTAACCTGGGTTTCTTTTTATCAAAAGCACTTTCTCGGTAATTTTCCCTATTCTTTTCAGAATATCGAATCATCAGATTGTAGGCAAAGAGAATCAAACTGAATTTGCTTTTTAAGTTCTCATATCTGAGTTCAAATTCCGCGCTAACTCTGGGTTATCTTAACCCATCTTTGAACAACCCGGCCCTGGGTAAGCTGCCTCTCATCGCCAGAGGTTTTCAGCTGTGGTGAGCTATAAGAGGAGCGTGTATTCGCAAGCTAACATCTGAGTAGAGAAAACGTAGAGCAAAGTTTCCCGTTTAGGGACGTTTTCGTCATTCATCTTCTTGTATCATAAATGTAGAACTCGTGGTCCAGGAACTAACAGAATGATCATGTGAGTAGACGGAGCATACCTTCAAATAAAGAACACTTTATACGCTAGCTGCTGCTCTGCTCGCAATCCATCCGCGATTTTTGTGCACATTTCCTTTGATATTTGACCAGTTTCTCAAACAATTTTTTTTCTTTGTTCATCGAGGTAAAATTAAAATCTCGGCAGAAACCATGGGTCACTGTTCCGTCCTATAAAATTTTTGCTGAAATCTAATCACAGGGGCTTAGATTCTGGGAGAGGGGCACTTAGATATAAAAAGTAAAATAAATTTCAAATGTTTTACTTTCAGGAAAACCGAACTCACGAGAAATACCTTACCAAGGATACAGAGAACATCTGGAAGACATGTGAACAACTTGAGCCTAAGCCTCGGGCGTTCTTCTGCGTCGTCGGAAAAGATGAAATGGAGAAGTGTAAAGATATGATCGAGCACTTCGAGACCATAGATGGTGGGTAAAGATCAAACAAACTGAGTAACCACATGCATTGTAAAAACGAAAGCATGCTTGATTTCTGTCACACAGAAGGTTCAAAATCATGACTTTTGTCACGATTTTGCATGACTTTAAAATCTTCTCAGCGTTCCACCAAAAATCAGCTTGATTCGAAAATCCGTTCCTCTTCAGAGCATGATGTTGAGGTTCAAACCATTTAACATTTTGACCATAGGCAATTATGAGGGGCTTCTATTTTCTTACTGTGTCGATTAAAAATGGCCGTAAGTATTCGAAAGATTCAAAACATACCTGGTGTCAGAGTTGAATCTTTGTGTATCTCTTTACAGGCGTCAAAAATATTTCCTGGGGCTGTGTCGAAGCACCCTGTAAGAAAGAATGCACTGAAATGATTGCAAAGAACGTGGCAGACCTGGTTTATCTCAATGCTACGGAAATGTTCACCGCAGGAAGAGAGTATAACTTGGCTCCTATCATTGGGCAGAACAAGAAGACGTAAGTAAACATCAGTGCTGTGAAGAAATGCCTTCTCGGTCCGAGATTGGGACGTTATTGGCCATTATCGGAAGGTTTTTGGGTACCAAGGGGGGAAATTTGAATATAACTGAAACCACTTAAGGAAGACTGCGTGAGATTCCTTTACGCGGTTTATTCTTACTGGAGCTGTGGTAGCAAAACAAAAAAAAAGCTATAGAAGACCCCTATAAAAATAAGGATTTTGAACAACCTGATAGAATTTGGCTGTAACTGACCGGTGATAATAAAAATAGTTTCAGTATGGAAAGTAACTAAAAAGATAACAGTAAAGAAGATACCAGTCCGGATCCATTACCACTCAACCCCCAAAACACTTTCACCAAAAAATCAGCTAGAATGAATGCTCTCGACAAAACATTCTCGGCAAATCATTTTCAGGGTAAAGATGTTTTAGGCGGAAATGCACACAATTTAAATGATGACGACATTTGGGGGAAGAAAACATTTGTAAGCTTGGACGAAATACAGTCAGTCGAACTTCCACTTATTGACACCTCCAATAGGCTTACACATAGTCCTGGTCCCAGCGAAATACAGAAACTGCATTGGTCCTTAAGTGGGATAGTTGTTAAGCGGGCCTTTTTTCCGGGAACCAAACAGGGTCTGCTTACAGCAGCTCAGTTCTTCTGTTTAAAAACGACATATCTATAGAATAAGCTGAAAAGGAATTTAAAAGCCAGTATTACCAAGTTAAAAAGAAGTTGGGAAAAGTTATGTGATTGTATAACTTCATTAAGTAATATTTGTCATTCACAGCATAAAGGAACCATGGACAGAAAGTATTACCATCGGTGTGATGCTCAAAGACAGTAGTGACCTCTCAGAAGACATGCACGGATGGAAGATGTGTAACGCAGGCGTCCATAAGATCAGCGGATTCCTTCATCCTATGGGTTGGCTTATGGCAAATGGCACAATGAAACGAATGGGCTCACCTTTGAAATCAATTGCGTAAGTTTCATTCTTCGTGGTTATATAATAATTGACCAGGACACCGTTCAGTGTTTTAAATAGTTTAGTGGTATGCAGTGGATAAGTTGTACGGAAGCCAATTGCTTTAGCCATTTTACACAACTTGGGACAGAGATGCCGGTTATTAACCGTTTAAACCCTAAGATCAAAATTTGAATTCTCATTTGTTGTCCCATTCACTTCCTAAAGAAGTAGCGTGGAGAAGATGATGAAGTATCAAGCAAATTCATCTCGTGTGATCATGTCCGTAATTCTCATGACCACTCTGTTTTACAAAGCATTGATATTACAAGGAGAAATTTGAAGCTCATGACCACTCCTAGGGCTTAAAGGGTTCATCATCATGATTATCTCGTTTCTTTGTATATGGGAAGGTCCTCAGTCTCGGAACTGTTCCCTTGCCTCTCACTCTCGGATAGGTTGGTGGTCGCAAATCTAACAGGCGACTCCGCCTAAAGTCTTGATGTCTACTAGGCCTTTCTAAAAAATCTGTTAAGAAAAACGGCCTTTGAAAAGCCAAAAGCAAATGACGTGCTAAAATGGTCAATCATGGGATGTAAAATGGAAAACAAATATAGTTTATTATCTCTATACCATTTCGATACCACTAAGGCACTAATTAGCATTGCCTTGAAATTTGCAGGCATCACTTTGACAAAAGCTGTGTCCCTGGAGTGAACACATTGGATCTTACTAACCAAACGCTTTTGTCGCTTACAATGGATTGGATATCTCTACTGCGAGAGAAGGACGTCCATTGGGAGAAGTTTTACAAAACTCCTTTGTGGCGAAAGTGGCAAGACAAACAGACTGGAAATGGTGACGAATACGAATCAGTGCATAAGGTGCAAGACTTTGATTCCCCGCTGTTCCAGAAGATGATCCAATTGATGAAGTCAGAGCATCCAATCATGCATAAGTACCACACACCCGAGGTTCACGAGGCACTGGAAAAGGTAATTAAGAAAGACGTAACATGCCGAGTGCGTTGTTGAGTAAGCACACAGGTACTTTTAAAAACGCAAGAGAAGTGCCGAGCGCAGAGGTGCAAGTGAAACCGTACTTTTCTGAACGACGAAACATTCTCGTCCAACATCGTGTATAAGGAACGCTTTTGACCGCTTAACTGCTGGTCTCAACATTGACATAATAATGCATGTTATATCAGGATTTTCAAAGACGGTTAAACGATGAGGGCGTGTTTAGATCTTTTCCATGACGACTGATAAAACTATTTTCAAGGTCATACGAAACCGCTCTATCAATATGTCTAAAATACTTGGATTTTTACTGACAGAGAATCTAGGATACTTGGATAACCTGTACAAAATAGACCCAGCTCAAATGTTCTGCATCGATGTGCCTTTCCAACTGATGAATTGGATACTGCAAAACAACGGTGATTGAGTCATTGTAGATCTTCAGTAAGTTAAAGCTTCATTCAGTTGGTGCGGCACAAAAGCGTTAGTTCTGCAGAGGGGGAGAAAATATCTGACACTCTAGAGTGGCAGTTGATTCTTACGACTCTCTCCGGCTAGAGTGCTAGACCAAATTCAGACTGATTCAGTTGTCCCTACGCAGTTAACTCTTGTGGAACTAGGTTGTACTATGAGCGGCACGACGTTTAACCAGAGCCTAAGCTTTTTTCTCGATTTTTTTAAAGCTTAAAAAGGACTTCTCCTGGGACAACTATGAAGGCATCAAAGATTTCTGTTCCATGAAAGTACCTAAATGGGAATTGGTTAGCTGGGCGTGGCAGATGCCAGAGGGCTGGATCGAGGAGGAATGGCACATGTTCATGGGGTGGGCTGAGCATCGGTGGAATGAAAATGAAAACTGCGGACAATACGCTATGGATTGGACTGACAACGACTGGACGACGTTCAAGTCCTGGATGGATACAGAGTTCACTGATTACAAGCAATCAAGGAAGTCAGGACTGCAATCAAATCATAAGCCACTACATCAGGATACCTTCATCAGGTAAACTGGAAACATAGTTTGCTGTTTCAGACTTTATAGGACATGGATTGGCTCAACAGCTAAGAGTGACTAATCATAAAGGATACGCTGTAGGAAAAAAGCATTAAATACAGTGGAGTTTAAATTGGACTTTTCTAGCCTTCAGACCTGGAAAAGATGAGGTCGAGTTTCTCAATCACTTGTTTTACTGAACAGTTGCTAAAAAACTTCGTCGACAGCTAAGAGGAACGTTATCACTCAGTCTGTAGTTCTTAGCCGTATATATTTCATTTTATTCTCACTACCTGAACGCCTTGGACAAGCCAGTGGCGGATCCAGGGGAGGGGTCGGGGGGGCTGGGCACCCCCTTATTTTTAGACCAAACTGAGGCCCAAAGGGCCAAAATAAATTGAGACCAGCGCCCCCACCCCTTATCTAAGGGTTTGGATGATCGGCTGCCCTTTTCTCAAGGTCTGGATCCGGTACTGCAAGCTAAAGCCAAATGGTCATATAACTCAAAATTCTTGACCTTTTCATAATCTTTAGGATGTCTTTGCTCTGTGCACGGTTACAGTGGCTCATGAGCCAATTTAAACTCCTGCAGTGGGAAAACGGAGACATCAGGTACTTCCGAGAGAAGATGTGCGATGCCTGCGTTGGACAAGGAGACAAAAAATGTTCCATGGATACCATCAGCGAAGCTTTCTATGACTACCCAGGAGCCCTTAAGTGCCTAAGCGAAGAAAATGGTGATGTCGCTTTTATGGATGGATACACCTTTGATGACGCTGTGACATTGCATAGCCTAAACAAAGATGACTTCGTCCTTATGTGTCCCAATGGAACGAAAATAGACATTGCCGATGATACTATGGAATCAATCAAAGAGTGTAACTTTGGTCGCGTTCCATCCCACGCACTTGCCACGTGCAACATGCATGATGGGGTATGGCGATGGAAGTTGAGCAAAGCCTTACTCGAGGCACAGAAAGTCTTAACCCCGGACAAGATGTTCGTAGAAGGAATATTTGGAAAGGAGACCAAGAGCTTGACGCCCATTCCTTTTGTCAACCAGACCTACCAGGTGTGGCTTGGTCCCAGGTTCCTACGCGCTTTAGAGGGCTTAATGCAACCCCCAGGTGAGTTACTAAATAAATAAATGAATAAATAACGATTTTAGAAGTAGCCCATTCACAGAGATGTTCGTCGTCTACCTTTCCTGGTCGAACTGGAATTTGGAAATGTTGGGTTTTGAGAAAAGGGGAAAACCGGAGTACCCAGGGAGAACCTCTGACGGAGCAAAGAAGAAAACCAATAACAAACTCAACCCACATGGCGTTGACGCTGGGATTTGAACCCTGGCTACATCGGTGGGAGGTGAGTTCTCTCACCACTGTGCCATCCCTTGGTCTTTTGTTTCCTCTGGTCATTGCTCATTTTGAGATCAATTCGAGGGTGAGTCTCGGGCGGTGTTGTGTCTAATTGAGAGGTTAGGACTACTACTACTAGGACTGTTTTGGAGATGCTGTCACTTCTCTCATTGGCCATTAAGAAGTTGCGCAATCAAAACATTTCCATTGTGCACTTCGACACAACACCGACCCAGCCTCAAACGTAACCTGAAAATGGCCAATTTGGCTTTGCCCTTTGATCTCGAAAGTACGCGGAGTTCTTGCGGTATTCTTCCGCAAGCTTCTTTGAAGCCATTTCATCGAGTTAACAGTTTTCTTACTCGATATAGTAATCTGTAAACGGTGACTTGGATTAGTTGAATTTCCATACTTTAGCTAGTAAATACAGCCGTCTCTCCTCGCTCCTGCTTGCCGCTAGGGACTTTTAACGCAGGCTATTTCATGCTCATGCAGATGGCGTAAGAGTATAAATGTATGTGACCGTGGCATTTTTTGCATAAGGTCCTCTGACGTGGCCTTGAAAACTGAAGTACTGATACAGGTAGTGCGCGTACTAATACTATCCCTCTCTTGTTTCGGCAGTTGAAGATAAGGAATGGCATGAAGATGAAGTAATGATTGACGACTGCGAGGGTGAGGAGTGTGACGTTGAATTTGGCCATCCCACCTGTGACGAGTGTGACGAGGGAGACGACATGTGCCTGGAAAAGTGCCAAGTTATGGATCCCTCAGAGAGTGGCGATTTTCCTGACGGAAAGAAGAAAATGTATCCAAGAAGGCATGAGAGGATGACCAGGAAAAAGGGAATAAGACAAGGACCATTTTTGCGTTACAAGAAACGGAAGATGAACATGGGAGCAATGAAGCATCGCGGAAAGGGACCTCATATGAAACCGGAGATGAGGCCACCAATGATGGGAAACATGGGACCAATGCGACGAATGCAGCGCCCCGGTATGAGACCCAGAATGAGGCCACCAATGATGGGCCATATGGGACCAATGGGACGAACGAAGCGCCCTGGTATGATGTCTGGTATGATGAGACCAATGATGGGCCACATGGGACCATCAATGGGAAAGATGGGACGCCCACACGGAAGGATGGACAAAATGATGCCTCGCCACAAAATGATGACCCCTGGCGTGGAAATTGGTCCAATGATGTACTATCCCAAAGTTAGAGGTGAATTCTATACCAAGGTCTTCTTTAGACGCAACTTCACATGCAACGCAATCGTCAGCGATCTCGTCTGCTATGGAGAGCGAAAGAACATTGAAATTAAGAGTGGACGCGTAGGAAAGACCCTGATCTCCGTCCCCATGTGTCCTAAGCCCACAAAAATTGAAGAGACTACAGCACAGTTTACTTGTGACACCGGTGCCAGCTTTTTGCATTCAATCATGCTCCCTGTGAAATGCTCGTACGTACCTTGTAATCTTGGATTCTGGATCCCTGATTGGTCCGAGGATAATTACTGGGATGGGGAAAATTCATATTCCGGGGATTACTGGGGAACCAAAGACTGGTGGAGCTTCGACGAGCGGGGTGACAAGGATAACTGGTTCCGAGGCCAGCCCGTAAAGAACCGCATCCATAAAAACGAACCATGGCTTCGGTGGGGAGGAGAACACCGGCGCAATTTATAAGATAAGAACTTGTAACAAATTTTTTTGTTGCTTCGGGTACTGCAAGTGTAGGACCAACGGACTGGACTTTGGCTTAAGTTATACGGAATTAGTTTTATTCTTTTCAAGGGTGATTGTTGGAAGTAGCTTTACAGTAATCAGTAGAAAAATGTTGCTGTGATGGACTTTCGCAGGTATTTTTATAGGGATTAATGGAAGTATATGTAGAATAATCCAATCTGTGCCAACACTGTCGAGACACTCATTTGGCCGCGAGATATATATGTGTAAATAACAAACCGATATCATCCCTCAGCAGCCGATCAAAATTCACTTGACCTGAGGGGAGAGGGGGGAAGGAACTTAATTTGTGTTCAAACATCTTTTTAGCAAGTTTGGAAGGGGGTGGTAGGTGTTCCGTACAGGACAGCTTTTCTCGACTAGTTTTGACGCAGATTCTACCTCGTGTTTAAAGATAAAAATTACATAGAATCAGAAAAAAATTCAAAAAACAGTGAAAAAAAAAGAGTGTCATCTTGTTATAGTTTGATATAAGCATAGTTTACATTACGGGGAGTTTACGGGTTTTTTGCATCAAACGGCTAAAATTAACCTAGAGAGATATTTTTGTATTCTGTTTCTACTGGAATAGGAAAAGGTATGCATCAATAAATAATTTAGTCTTTGCATTCGTAGCCTTTTGGTCACTTTTTTGCCATTTAAAATGTAAAATAAAACTAAGGTATAAGGTGAATGAGTGCTTCATCTAGCAGTACGGAGTCTTCGTATTTTAGTGCTAATTGAACTGGGTATTGCAGTCTGCGCTTTATTTTCTTAACGTATACCTCTCTAAAGAAGACGCCGACGCTGGTACATGCCTATCGACCCTAAATTATTTCCTTTCACTCTGTAAGCAAGACCGCAAAACAGTCGTTTTCTTATTATTATTTTTCTCAAAATCGGTTTTTGAAGGCGGGAATCGCCGCCTGTGACAGATCCTCATACGCGCGGAGCACGCGAGCCTCACACACTCGTCTAATCCCGCGTTCTTGATTACGCAATAAAACGAATTATTATTCATTAATAAAATATTTCTCCTTTTCTGATTTGCTTAAATCCCACCCAAAACTCATCATAACCAGCTACCGTCGACCAAATTTAAAAGAATTTTGCGATATGTAAAAAATGACGTCAATTGTGCACCAAATTACCAGATTATTGAACAGTTAACCGAGAAGACATGGGGACTAGATTGAGTATTTTAGTGAGTACAAAATGGCGGAACATTTCACTCGTTTGACGAGGAAAAAATAGGCGAAATATTGGCTAAAAATATAGCAGAAACAACAAGAAGACAACTCGACGGACGACATCTGCTATTTGGAGAACATTCGCAGCACTGAACAACCCTTTATCCCCCAAATTTGCTGATACACATGTACTATCGTAGATGAACTTAACATCGATGAAGGTAAGCATGTTTTAGCTTGTTTTAAACAAGGAATTATTCTGAATGAATAATAAAACAATTATTGAATTCGGCTTTCGTATCATTTGAAGAATTATGGAGGTCATCGAGCGCGTTATCCGCCAAGGCCAATTACACCCTCCTCGATCTCAATTCTTCAGGTGATACTCAGCCTCATCCAACAATTGCTAACTGTTGTGCAATCTGTCCAATATGAGCCACCTCCTCTCCTTTTTCCTTTTTCCTTCTCTCTCGTGGGTCTCGCGCTTCGCGCTTGTGCTTCAAAACCGGCCGGTTTTGCAGACTAGCTCGTTCCATTCTTACGTATGTGTGGAAAGAAAGACAAAGGCTGTGCTTAGCCTGCCTAACTGACGGGAAGGGAAAGGAAGAATAGAGACCTTATGATTGGGGGGGGGGGGGGGTCTCCAAAAACTTTTTTTCGGCCCTTCGGCCTCATTTTGGTCTAAAAATAAGGGGGGAGGGCCCGGGCCACCCAGGCCCCCCTCCTTGATCCGCCACTGTGATGCACCGTTTCTCTACGGCTAGGAGAAAACCCGTACGCCGCAGTAATACGCGTAGATTACCTCTCATCCGAGCGAAACGGCTAGGCTACCGGGGAGACTCAGTGATGCCATTATCAGATATGGTTATTCATGGTTGTCTTTTTATGACTAAGTAGCAAACGAGGTCGAGGTCTCCGAGGTCGTAAGATTTTCATGCCATTCCTATGTTTTGGCTTTGTTCTTCTAAAGGTAGTTTCCAATATGTTACCCTATTCCGGGTTCTCAAATAGTAGGAAAGTCGAGAAAGCAAAGGCGCGCGATGAAAAGACATTGCTGCTAAGATATTTTGCTGGAATATGCTGAGGAGTTTTGAGGCATTTTAGGGAAGAGTTTGCCAGTCTTTTGGCTCGGATCGCGACCTGTTGCCAGACGCAGTGATCGTCTGAGTTGACTTTCACGACGAACTCGTGGTTAGGATTACGATGTTGGGGATAACGATGACGATGAACATCATGACGACGAAGACGATGAAAATGATGATGATCATGATGACTGATGATGATGCTGGTGGTGGTGGTGGTGATGAAGATGATGATGATGATTATGATAGTGATCATGATGATCTGGAATAAGGGGCGGTGCCCCACACGTTTTTGTACCAGTTTTCTCGTTCTGCCGCTTTTCAAGGCTCGAAGCCAGGGAGGGGCTGCCAACGTTCGGCTTATTTAGCGCATGCTGGAAAATTTTGTGGACTAACTTATGGTTAAAGTAGTTTTAAGTCTTCTTGACTTGTCAATACTTCTACTCATGTCCTCTCCTAAGAAACTAGGGTCTTCTTAAAGGGGCTGTGTCATGGCAGTCCAGTTCATTATGCCTAAGTTTGCCAATGACTCGCCCTCAATCGCTATGGAACTTAAGCCAGGGGCACCCAACGACAATTTTCGGAAAAATATCTGTTCGGAAGACGATTTGAGATCTAGAATTTTCGGAACATTTGTTGTAAAATTTCTTGCTTGCCTGCCTCTCCTAGGATTTTCGGACATCTAAAAAATGGTATAATTGCCTATTTTTAACGCATTTTTACCCTAAATAGGTCACCTAGAATTTTCGGTAGCCTTTTTTCTGGCTAAAATTTTCGAAAAGGTAAGTTTTGATCCCTATAATTTTCGGATCACTAGACTTTGAGCTAGGAAATCCGAACAGATGAAAAATTTTTAGGGGATAAAAATATGCCTATATCTACCGTTTAAATACTAAAATACGTTTAAAAATGCTATGTTTAAGTGGTTTTGAACTATCTTCTCGTTGGGTGCCCCTGTTGAGCTAACTGCAAAGAAATTACATGTAAATGACAAAATCAGAGATCCGAGACAAACAAATATGTCTCCTGAGCATTATTTTTGAAGTTGCAAGCAGCAGGGATCAACTTTGAAAAACTGTCAGGCTGAACAGTTTTCAAAAATCCTTATTTCAATCTGTTTCAATCTTCTTCAGTTTTGCCCATCCGTGACATCTGTTGTTTCTGTTATGTTATTTTAACCTTCCTTTAAAGTTTTAAACGGTTATTTTTATGTTTTTCTTAATTTAACGGGAATTTTGTAATTTCCTAATTTGGCTGAATTTCGTGACACAGCTCCTTTAAGAGAGAATGTCCGTCCTCTCTTGGTCCTCAGGGTGAAAGGTGATTAGGAAATTAGCTGCTATTCTTCACATCATTATACATAAAAATGAGGCCGATTAAATGTTGTCCCGTAGTGTTGCCGGGCACAGCAAGGCCTGCGGGAAGGGAAAAGGGAGAATCAATCAAGGAGCGCGAATACGAAAAGCCTTCCTCGTGGGTTCATCGCGTCCAGTGTTCTCGAGCGCCTTCATTTGAGACCTTAAAAAATCAAGCATTAGGTCTTTTTGATTACCGAATTTTTTAGGATGTTTTTTTTAGATTCAGCAAAATAAGTGAATGTTGTACGTCCTTTAAGGCTGAAATTCAATTAAACCTGGCGATTTTTATATGAAACATTTTTAGTGGTACTTCAATCAATACAACAATTTTTCTCGCTTCTAAGACAATTCAATGTGAATTATATCAAGTACGAATGATGTTCTTTGGTTGCCGCTGGTCATGTTACAGGCTGCAGGTTCATTCGACACCAGGAAAATAATTCAAGGGGAAAGTGCACTTAGCAGACTTGGCTTACATTTAGCAGAAAAGATGGAAAAATACTCCAGCATGGTGCAAAGACTTGTATCATTGAGTGTCAAGTTAATAGCAGTTGACTTCGATCTAACGATTATCAATATCCACACTCATGGAAGCTGGCAGTTCACAAGTAAAGCTCTTGTTTCACGCGTACGTCCCACCTTCAAGCATTTCTTGACAGCCGCGCTGAAATGCAGCGACCTTCACGTTGCTGTTGTAACTCAATCTCCTCAAGTATCACTTGTCCGGGAAGTTTTAGAGAAGGCTTTGCCCGACTGTGACACGAGCGTCATTCACATTCGAGGTTCGGATGGAAAATGGAAGGAGCTGAAAGGGGTCTCGAAAGAAGGTGAGTGATCACTCCAAATTCGAGATTGCTCCGAATCTCTCAATTTAAGAAAACGTTTTCTTATTATTCGAGAAAAATTTAAAACAAATCATAGGATAAGAACTCTTTTTTCTGTAATTTAAACAGGCAGTTTGAGTTTTCGAGAACAAAATCTTATTCTAAGATTTGTTTTAATTTTGACCTAAAACTCGGTGGAAAGGATCGAACATGATATAATTTTACAGATCAGACCTATTTCAGTTACAATTTGACTTTATATTTCGACGGATTCGATTTTAGGGGGTCTTAGTTTTCGTAATCTCGAAAACTAAGACGGGTCTTAGGTCTTAGGTCTTAGTTTTCGAGGGTCTTAGTTTTCGTAACACCCGATGGAAACCGTAAGCTCTAAAAAAAGAAATTCTCGAAATAGCCCGAATATTATTTTGTAAGAATGTCGACAAACAAACAGTCCCAAGTCAACGCACTGTTGAAAAGGTTTCACTTGAATGGTTAAACGAAAACACTTTGACCAAAGACTGAAAGTGAAAAGTAACTGAAATTCACTTATCCACATAATGAAATTTAAGAGGAGGAAATGAGAAATGCTCTGTTTAGTGTCTTTCATTTGATCTATACAAAGTCGAATTTTGAAATTTTCATTTTGATAATATCAACAGGGTGCAAAGAAAGTCAGTTTTACAGCCTGCCATTCAGGCAAGCTGTAGCTAGCATGTACTAGCCCACAAGTCATTTCAACTAGCACCAAAACCCTTTTTGATGCACAGAATTGACTTTTACTTTTACTTTTACTTTATTAATCCGCAAAGGCGGTAACCATCGCGCGGATTACAATCTTTCTGTAATTTGAATTTCCCCCCCAAAACAGCACTTGCCTGTCAGTCAAGTTAAGAACAAGAATCGCTAGCCTGATAGCAAAATCCACTAGCCCAGGGCTATCGGATACAACTTTCTTTGCACGCAACATTACTTGGTTACCTGGAGCTCAGCCACCTTTACATTGACCATTTATGCATCAGTCAATTCCATCTGTGCCCAGTGTCCCTCCCCCCCCCCCCCCCCCCCGGGCTACTGCTGGGCATTTGTCCGCCTCGTCAGTCCCAGGATATTAGCAAATTTTGCTCTGCCCTGGAATCGGCATTTGCTAACCCTGGGACCACCCCGGCCCCGAGCTTTTGACACACCTGTGAATGGGTCTCTTATCCAAATATAACTGCAAAAAGGATTGTAAAGGCGTGTTCTCAATCTTATACATGCATTTCTTCCTTGCTTGTCAAGCCAGTGAAATTGGGAGCTATCGATGTGAATCATTGTTTTCTTTGGTTGTTGAATCAAATTCCTGTTGATACTATTTGAAGAACGTCCTTTCATATTTATAAAACTATTTAGAACAGATAACTTTACAGCATACTATTTAGTTTAATGTCAACAATATTATAGCAATACTAAAATCATAAACTGGTGTTGTTGCAGTGTGAAATCTTAATTAGAATAGTGCTATTGCAGAGGCAGATGTTAATGTTATGAAAAAATCACACATTAAAATGCTTAAAATAGCATGACTTGACTGTGTGATCAATGAAAAATGTTGCAGTGTTGATGAAGGATGGGTCATTTGCCCTCTTTTTTTTCCCCACCCTGAGGAAATTACACATGTCGACCACTCATGGTCACTAACCTTAATACTCATTATAAAGGCTTCTTGTCCAAAAAGACACCCAGCTGTTTAAGACACCAAGAAGTGAAGTTTTATACTTAAGATCCTGAAAACCACAGCGTGTTCAGTGACATACCTACCCTATGCCCGGGTGAGAGAACTTCCTAGCTGCTCTTTTACCCACCTATACTTATTGAACATACTGACCCAGCAAGAAAGAAATCTTTTTTCATACTTGGACACCTCTGCAATGTTGATGGCTGGGTCACAGACCATTTATCCATTCTTTTTGGCACAGACCGACTGTTAAACCAGTGACACACATTCCAGCATTTAATTGATCAACAAATGTTGCAACTCTGGTTGTTGAACAAGTTGCAACTTGTTGTATACAGTGCATCTCTGTCCTCATTCAACAATGTTCTGTATTTCAACATTCAATGAGGCATGGTATAGTGTTCATTGAACAAGACAGGCAAAACAAGTTGATCAACAAGTGTTGAACTGTGTGGCCTTAGAATACAGATGCATAGCTGACATCATGGATTGTTTTTTGTAGTTGTTGTTGTTGTTGTTGTTAAGTTTTTCAACATGGCAAGCAGTTACGAAAATACAAACGCAACAGACTAATTAAGTAGGACGAGGCCAGCCCACCAATTTGACCAAAATTGTTAACTGACAATTTGTAATAATTTTATTGTCCATCAAGGAAAACAACAGCACATTGAGTCAGTGCTGAGACAGATTGAGAAAGATCAAAAGATCAAGATTAAAAGTAGCCAAGTTATACTTTTAGATGATGATCAACAAAACATATCAGTGGCTAGAAGCTGTAAAATGAGGGCTCTTCAAATAACCGGAGACAATAGCTTGGATGAGCTTCTGGAACAGAGGTAGATGCATTGTTCTACCTTACGCTTTATGCATGAACAAAAAAGATAATAACTGATGTCATGATCTTTATAAACGTAACCCAGAGATGTAATATATTTTTTCACAAACAGAAAGTACATAATCTGTGACTATTTATAAAGTGTTAAATATAAGCTCATGTGACTTTACTATGATGTCCATATTACTATATCTATCTTACAGTGGTCAAATGCATATGTATGAAATACAACACACGCCAGAACATTGTATATTTCCCTTTTTGGTGTGTGTTTGCAACATTTATACTTACTACATGAGAAATTTCTGCAATTTGATTGACTTGGAGCAGTGGTATTTCAGCTTAAAGGGGCTGTGTCACGGCAGTCCAGTTCATTTTGTTTAATTTTGCCAATCACTCGCCCTCAATCGCTATGGAACTTAAAGTAAGCAAAGAAATTACATGTAAATGACAAAATGAGAGATCCGAGACAAACAAATGTGCCTCCTGAGCATTATTTTTGAAGTTGCAAGCAGCAGGGATCAACTTTGAAAAACTGGTAGGCTGAACAGTTTTCAAAAACCCTAATTTCAATCCGTTTTAATCTTCTTCAGTTTTGCCCATCCGTGGCATCTGTTGTTTCTGTTATGCTATTTTAACCTTCCTTTAAAGTTTTAAGCGGTTATTTTTATGTTTCTCTTAATTTAACGGGCATTTTGTAATTTCCTAATTTGGCTGAATTTCGTGACACAGCTCCTTTAATTTGAAATACCTACATGTGAAAATTACAAAAAAACCTTTACGGGTAGTAGTATAAACAAATAATAGCATGATTTGTACGTGATATTTGGCATAAATACCACTCGTGATATTTCAAAACTGTCTCAAATTTCACTTGCCTAATGGCTTGTGAAATTATGTATAACAATTTTGAAATATCACTTGTGGTATTTATGCCAAATATCACTACAAATCATGCTATTACCTATACTAATTTTTTTCCAGTTGTTTCTTTGATGATGAACTTCTCAGGTCAGCTTCATTTAGGGGAAAAAAACAGTCCATTCATTTTTTTTTGGTTGTTTCTTTGATGATGAAACTTCTCAAATGGTCAGAACATCATTTGAGTTGAAAAAACAGTCCATTCACACAAGATTTGAAAGAAAAGCCTTTCTTTTAATTTTTTTCCACAAGATGGTTGTGCTATGGTGACAGGCAATACAGTAAACACCCACATAAGAACAAATGGATTAAGAACATCAGGCTGAAATTTGGCCCATAAACCACCATATACAGAAGCACCAGTTTAGCCTGATAAATAAATCATGTTCTTATGTAATAAGGGAGAGGGTATCGGAGTAAGAAAGCAATGTAACTATGGTTGCTGCTAGATAATTACAAAAAAATAACAGTTGCCTGGGTGTCTTTAGGATTTTTGTTTACTTGCTTACTTATTTATTTATAATAAAATATGCTAACTAAACCTCTTGTAACATGTTATGTCTAGTATTTCTGAAACGAAGTGTAAGAATATATTAAAACTTCAGGCTGATTTCTCACTAAGCACGGGATAAATAAGAACTATATCGGCCTGAACCCTGAAATCATGTGTTCTTATATGCAGGTGTTTACTGTATCGCATAGCCTTTATGGTTAAAAATCCCAAAGGGGAGGGAGGAGACATCCACCAAAATTCCCACAAGTGTTGGCTGATTCAATATTTTTTCCTGTGATACAAGAGGCGTGTCACATATTTGAATCAAATGACCTTGGGTAATTCACCTATATTTGCACGTAGCTTGATGTGGTTTGCATATCTGACCAGTGTGTACAAACATAAGAATTGAACTTAACATTTACAATTAACAACCTTCTTTTCATTGATAAAAATTGTACATTTTTTAACTTTAACTGTCTATCCTGTGGTATTATTAAAAGGGAATAATAATTTGTTACAATTACTTGGAACTATGTCTTATATCATGTTTTAGGCACATAGAATACTGGAACATAATTTTTATATGCATAGACTCAAAATGTGATCAAAACCATATACACAGAGAAAGAAAGTCCCTACATTATTGTATCATGTCACATGTAAAAGTGTGTTGAATATTTGACAGATTTTGGACCTCTTCTCTTTGAGGAGCAGCCCCAAGAACCTTTTGCAGGATGCTGACAATCTATTAATACAGTAGGAAATTCCAGTTAGATTTACTTAATGTAAACTTAAACATTTCTATATCTTATTCTCCTTCCTAAATTTACCAAAAATGCCATTTCTATATTTGTAAATAATGCTAAAGAAGGCTTCTTTAGAGTAGTCACACCATAAGATTTTGTGTAGAAACTCAAAAGCTAGAACCATATATTTTTTCCTCTTTATTGATGTTGTGAGCTATGTTATGATTAAAGCTAATTAAATTAGCTTACATAGAAGGTGTTTGTCCAAATATAACGCACAAGTGTTACCCCCGCAACCTGCTCTTATGCACGCATTGTTTTTTCATATCCTCCTGTGGAGGTTAAGGTCAAAAAAGCTTGCTCAATCTTCCATTGTTCTGAAGGGGGCCTCCCTGTCATGGCCTGTATTGGGAGGCTCTGCCCAAAAGGGATACTGTACAGTACCTTTTCCACGTTTCACCAAGGGTAAAGATTTTACTTGTTAAAGTATATGAAAGGGTAGGGAAATCTGTTGTTGTTACCCCTGTTACGCCTTGTTACCCCTTGTTAACCCTTGCTACCCCTTGTTACCCTTGTTACCCCTTGTTATGCCTTCTTACCCCCTGTTACCCTTGTTACCCGTTGTTACCCCCTGTTACCCCTTCCTAACCCTTGTTAGCCTTGTTACCCTTTGTTACCCCTTGTTACCCCATGTTACTCCTTCTAACCCTTGTAACCCCTTGTTTCCTTTGTTACCCTTTGTTACCCCTTGTTACTCCTTGCTACCCTTGTTACCCCTTGTTACCCGTGTTACCCCTTGTTACCCCTTGTTACACCCTGTTACCCTTTGTTACCCTTGTTCCCATTTGTTAGCCCCTGTTACCCTTGTTACCCCATGTTACCCCTTGTTACCCCTTGTTACCCCTTGTTGCCATTGTTACCCCTTGTTACCCTTTTGTTACCCCTTGTTACCCTTGTTACCCCTTGTTACTCTTGTTACCCTTTTTACCTTTGTTACCTCTTGTTACCCCTTGTTACCCTTGTTACCCCTTGTTACCCTTGTTACCCCTTCCTAGCACTTGTTACCCTTGTTACTGTTGTTACCCCTTGTTACCCCTTGTTACCATTTTTTACTCCTTGTTACCCCTTGTTACCCTTGTTACCCCTTGTTACCCCTTTTTACCCTTGTTACCCCTTGTTACCTTTTGTTACCCTTGTTACCCTTGTTACCCTTTGTTACCCTTTGTTACCCCTTGTTACCCTTCTCACCCCTTGTTACCGTTGTTACCCCTTCTTACCTCTGTTACCCCTTGTTACCCCTCATTTCCCTTCTTACCACTTGTTACCCTTGTTACCGCTTGTTACCCCTTGTTACCCAGTGCTACCCCTTGTTACCCTTGTTACCCTTTCTTACCCCTTGTTACCCTTGTTACCCTTGTTACCCCTTGTTACCTTTGTTACCCCTTGTTACCTTTGTTACCCGTTGTTACCCTTTGTTACCCTTTGGAGGTTAAGGTCAAAAAAGCTTGCTCAATCTTCCATTGTTCTGAAGGGGGCCTCCCTGTCATGGCCTGTATTGGGAGGCTCTGCCCAAAAGGGATACTGTACAGTACCTTTTCCAGGTTTCACCAAGGGTAAAGATTTTACTTGTTAAAGTATATGAAAGGGTAGGGAAATCTGTTGTTGTTACCCCTTGTTACGCCTTGTTACCCGTTGTTAACCCTTTCTACCCTTTGTTACCCGTTGTTACCCTTGTTACCCCTTGTTATGCCTTCTTACCCCCTGTTACCCTTGTTACCCGTTGTTACCCCCTGTTACCCCTTCCTAACCCTTTTTACCCTTGTTACCCTTTGCTACCCCTTGTTACCCTTGTTACCCCATGTTACCCCTTCTAACCCTTGTAACCCCTTGTTTCCTTTGTTACCCTTTGTTACCCCTTGTTACTCCTTGCTACCCTTGTTACCCCTTGTTACCCGTGTTATCCCTTGTTACCCCTTGTTACCCTTGTTACACCCTGTTACCCTTTGTTACCCTTGTTTCCATTTGTTAGCCCCTGTTACCCTTGTTACCCCATGTTACCCCTTGTTACCCCTTGTTGCCATTGTTACCCCTTGTTACCCTTTGTTACCCCTTGTTACCCTTGTTACCCCTTGTTACTCTTGTTATCCCTTTTTACCTTTTTACCTTAAAAGCTTGCTCAATCTTCCATTGTTCGGAAGGGGGCCTCCCTGTCATGGCCTGTATCGGGAGGCTCTGCCCAAAAGGGATACTGTACAGTACCTTTTCCAGGTTTCACCAAGGGTAAAGATTTTACTTGTTAAAGTATATGAAAGGGTAGGGAAATCTGTTGTTGTTACCCCTTGTTACGCCTTGTTACCCCTTGTTAACCCTTGCTACCCTTTGTTACCCCTTGTTACCCTTGTTACCCCTTGTTATGCCTTCTTACCCCCTGTTACCCTTGTTACCCGTTGTTACCCCCTGTTACCCCTTCCTAACCCTTTTTACCCTTGTTACCCTTTGTTACCCCTTGTTACCCTTGTTACCCCATGTTACCCCTTCTAACCCTTGTAACCCCTTGTTTCCTTTGTTACCCTTTGTTACCCCTTGTTACTCCTTGCTACCCTTGTTACCCGTGTTACCCCTTGTTACCCTTGTTACACCCTGTTACCCTTTGTTACCCTTGTTTCCATTTGTTAGCCCCTGTTACCCTTGTTACCCCTTGTTACCATTGTTACCCCTTGTTACCCTTTGTTACCCCTTGTTACCCTTGTTACCCCTTGTTACTCTTGTTACCCCTTTTTACCTTTGTTACCTGTTGTTACCCCTTGTTACCCCTTGTTACCCTTGTTACCCCTTGTTACCCTTGTTACCCCGTCCTAGCACTTGTTACCCTTGTTACCCTTGTTACCCCTTGTTACCATTTTTTACTCCTTGTTACCCCTTGTTACCTTTGTTACCCCTTTTTAGCCTTGTTACCCTTTGTTACCCCTTGTTACCTTTTGTTACCCTTGTTACCCCTTGTTACCCGTTGTTACCCCCTGTTACCCCTTCCTACCCCTTGTTACCCCTTGTTACCCTTTGTTACCCCTTGTTACCCTTCTCACCCCTTGTTACCGTTGTTACCCCTTCTTACCTCTGTTACCCCTTGTTACCCCTCGTTTCCCTTCTTACCACTTGTTACCCTTGTTACCCTTGTTACCGCTTGTTACCCCTTGTTACCCTTGCTACCCCTTGTTACCGTTGTTACCCTTTCTTACCCCTTGTTACCCTTGTTACCCCTTGTTACCTTTGTTACCCCTTGTTACCTTTGTTACCCCTTGTTACCCTTTGGTACCCCTTGTTACCCCTGTTGCCCTTTGTTACCCCCTGTTACCCTTGTTACCCCTTCTTAGCACTTGTTACCCTAGTTACCCCTTGTTACCCTTGTTACCCTTTTTTACCCCTTGTTACCCTTGTTACCCCTTGTTACCCTTTGTTACCCCTTGTTACCCTTGTTACCCTTTGTTACCCCCTGTTACCCTTGCTACCCCTTGTTACCCTTGTTACCC